AACGTCGCGCACCCGATGCATTAACTAAGGGAGGAGGAGCATCACGACGGAAGACCTCTGGTGATGAGCGCCGATTCTCGTAATCGGGCGCCTGTACAATCGAATGATGCGCTGCGCCTACTTCGCGCTGAAGCCGAGGAATCGAAGAATGCCCTACTTGATGCTCGCAAGATGGCTGAGAGAGCTCAAGATCGTGCGGATGCTGCGACTGAGGCTGCTGAGCGGACTCGACGTGAGCAGATGGTACTGGTTGAGCGCCTACGTCAACTTGAGACAACTGCGTTCGGAGGACCTCAGCAGATCGAGTCTGCACGCGTTCGGGCAGAACTTGGTCCCAGTCGTCGTCAGCGTCATCGTCAAGGGATGTCGGATTTTGAGCCGGCACAGAAGAGCGGGGGAGATTCGAAGGGAGATCCGCCGGTAGGTAAGCCTTGAGGCGCCCTACATAGAACGTCAGGTGCAAACGCATAGATGTAGGTATGTCTAGCGTGTAAGCGTCAACATGCACCTTAACAACCAGAAATGAGCCAATATATCTTGGTGCTAACTTATTAGCACCCAAATTCGTCACTGAGGTGTTCGGCAATCCACTAGTTGATAACAATACTCTGTCACCGTCGCGAAATATCAACATATTCTTTCGACCTCTTCTGTCTGCATTCTCCTTTTGCTTGTCGACTGCCTCTTGTAATGCATCACGTACAAAACGCGCAGATTTCTTGTCGTAATAGCAGAAATTCGGTTACTGCAGCCGAACTTACAGGCGACGTATTTTCTTTTGGAGCAAAATTATCAACGGGAGACGCGATGGAAAGCATCGCGTCAGGAGTCGATATGCCGTTGGCCACAAAATTACCAGTATTAGGTGCATCGACAGCAACCTTATTCTCATCGTAACCAATCATCAATAGTTTCGGCGCAATTCCATCCGTAGATACTTCCCCACCAAACTTTGAGACAGGGCGCTCTGAAGCTGAGAGAGCAAGTAGCGCCGGAACGAGAGGATGCCTCGCGTTGTTAACGAAAAGGGGCGTCGACCCGTTTGACGCATGGACAGCATTGTTGATTGCAAACTCTGCACATGGAAGAAACGAACTCCATGACGAGAACGATGTTGCATAATTGTGTAAGACATCTTCGAGCACTCTGTTCACACGCTCCGTTTGCCCATCCGTCTATGGATAGGCCGCCGTAGACATAAGCAACCGCGTGCTTAATAGCTGGATAATTCGGCCCAGAAAGCCGAAGTGAAACGCGGGTCACGGTCCGAAACAATAGATTCTGGCAAGACATGATTCCTGAAGATAAGATCAATGAAGATCTTCGCTGTCGTCTCCGCCGTAATGTTGGCGGAGACCGGAGCAAAATGCACCATTTTGCTGAATCGATCCACTAGAACCAATACGCCCGTGCGTTTCTGTTCATCCGGTGGAAGTACAAAGATTAATCCCATACTGACTGAGCGCAAGGCATTCGTAGCAATTGGAAGCGGACGCAATGAGGCTTGTGAAGACGGCGCGGGCTTCACACGCTGACAGGTTCACAGGAGCACACCCATTTCTGGATGTACCTATACATTCGCGGCCAGAAAAATACGCGAGAAATAGCCGCAAACGTCATTTCGCGACACAGGTGTCCGCCAGCTAAGCTGTCGTGGAATTCATAAAACAATCGGGGTCGAAGGTCGTCATCAGCAGGGATGACGACACGCGGGGAATCAAAGACGTCCATCGTGTACGTCAGCAACGGACCGTCAAGCGCGTAATGTCGCGTGTTGGTTTCATCAACTTCGCGAGTAATTTTTCGCTCGGGTCCCTGAGATAGTTGATGATTCCTGCATAGAAGGAATCATTCGCGTAGGATTCAGCGATCTGAGTTCGGATCGAAAGCACGGGGGTCGAAATCATCGCATTAAGCCCCAGCTCAATACAACACGCACAGATATCTTCGTCGTCATCAACACACTCCGTTTGATGACCCATATCGCGCCAAGGATCGTAATCAGGACGACGAGAAAGCGCGTCAGCGAGAATGTTATTCTTGCCAGGCTTGTAATGCACCACAAAGTTATACTCGGCAAAAAATGACAACCACCGTTCCATACGCTGGTACAAGTGAGGACTCTTGACGGCGGTACGCAATGATGCGTGATCTGTGTAGATAGAAAACATCTTTTCGCCGAGCAAATATACTCTAAACTTGATTAGCGCGTAACGCATAGCCAAAAGTTCCTTGTCGTGTACCGGATAATTTTTCTCGTCAGGTTACATCCGGAGTACGTTGACGTCTCCATCTTGATAGCGTCATGGTGCGAAGTGCGCGAGGGAGTCAATACACGCCGATTCGCTTCGGCGAGCTCGCGCACCATAAAGGCTTGGATGGCGGCACGTTAACCATCGGACGTCGCTGTGCTCAGCAGCAACGTCACAATAGTTTCACCAGACACCGCCGCGAGGAGATGTAGTACCTGCCACACCACCGAGGTGAGACGTGGGAAGCCAGAATGCTCCAGCGAGACCGCTGGAACCATCATCTCGAATCTGGTCATTGGAAGGACTACGAAGTGCTACCAGGTGTAACGGGATAAGAACCCGTTACCGTCTTACACTAATAGGGCGTTGAGGAAGCGCTCTTAATTAGCTCAAATATAACTCTGTTTTATTTTTGTTTTGTTTTGATTCGCAATGAGTGCGAATATGTTCCCTAGATCATGGGAACCACTCAATATGGAAGTCAATTTATTATTGGCTAATTATTGGGTCTAGCACCCCATTAATACACCAATAATAAAATGACGCGCAGTATCCGCTAATCGGATACTGCCCTATGCCTACTTATGTAATTATGTGTTAATCCTATAACTACTCATGTAATAGGTTGCCCCATTACGCTCTCGGTCTTCGGTAGACCTGGGTCCCTCATCGTTAGACCGGGGTCCTCAAGGTTCAGCCACTCCTGACCAGTCAACACAAGGAATCGAGTTTCAGGCAAGGATAGAGTAAAAGAGTTAAAAGGATAGGACTATATTGAATATTAATCAATTTGCGATCTACTTGGCACCTCTTCGTCACGCTTGGAAGAATCCAAGTCTGACCACACGTCTGTTCCGGGAAAAGGACATATTTTGCTCCCCGTTAAAAACAGTCATGTGGTTTTACTCAAGTGCGAGATGAACCCACGTGGCACGACTTCGTCGCTCTTATAAACTTGTTTGAAACTACTCATCTGTTCCGGTGGGGACATATTTTGGCCCCCCGTAAAGACAGTCGTGTAACGAAGTTCAAGTGCGAATATAACCCCCCCCCCCCTTAAAGACCCGCTATCGAAAGCGGTCTCCCTCACCTCACGGTCCGGGAGAAAAGTTAAGGTCAGGTGGTTAACACCCCTGAAACAACAAGGAAAAGTCCAGTGACGACAAGCTCCCTGAAGAATTTGGTTCTATGTCCACTCTCGACGAGGTCAACCGTGTGGCCACCTACCATCCCACCGAGTGAAGCATATCCACTCCAGGCCCCCCAGGTCTACCTCTCTCAGGCAGACGTCTACATCCTCACCAAGTCTTCCGAAGGATACAACCCGCCAGCCGGCGGGTACACAAGGTGAGAGAAGGTCTATACGCGGCATGGGGGTACCTTCTCCGACAGTCGGCAATCCGGCACAGTTAGTGGGTTAAAATCTTATCATAACATTTTATAAAATTTACTTCGCCGCAGTAACATCCTTATCAGGACGCCCAGCTAACCCTCTAATCGATATTGCCTCTGTTCAATCGCCTAAGAACGACTCTCCATCGTGCTTAACTTGCATTGCGTCGGAGATATCGTTTCACGGAGACAGTTCACTTCGTAAACCAGCTCAGCGAGAGCTGTCACCGATGTACCGGCCTCCGCCGGCGTTGCTTGATGAGCAAGGGAACCTTCAGTTTCATGCGAAGAAACTTCTCCAGAAGCGTCATCGCCATGGACAATACAGTATCTGATAAAGTGGCGAGGGTATCCTGAGTCTGAAAGCTCATGGGATTATGAGATCCTTTGCGGCAAGTTTGCTCGTACGCCGCGGACTTTTTTTGAACATCGCAGCCAGGGCCCACTTGTGATCCACGGCGCTTCTCAACAGTAATATTGAGAGCGAGCGAGCTTGCGGCGAAGGCTTTGTATGATTTAATTTCCTTATCGTTTGCTGTAAACTTGCGGCTACAGGCATAGCCGAAGCACTTGGGTGCTGAACAACAGGCATATATTGCGATCGTGTCGATCGCAGCTGGCCTCGGTCCTTCCGCTTTGCTTCATCATAGCGACGTTCACGGTTGAGTCGAACGTCCGCCACACTGGCACTAGCTCCAAGAGCCTTCATGCTACTGAGTCGCCGCTGGGCGCTCGATGCACCCAGCGAATGAAAGTGTTGTCTTCTTCATCTCTCGTCTCTCCTGCAAGGAGGAAGATGCGCTCGATGCACCCAGCGAATGAAAGTATTGTCTTCTTCATCTCTCGTCTCTCCTGCAAGGAGGAAGATGGGTATGCCTTTCATGGCAGGCAACAACGTACCACGTGCTTGATTTGCCAAGCGTGCCTTATATTGGCTTTGCATGGTAACGCATGGCTCGAGATATCTCTCGCGTTGAGCCTTTTGCGTTTTGAGATCTTCAGGTGTGGTGGCTTCCTGCCCTGTGGGCCTTATGACCAACCTTCTCCTTGAGACGCTCTTCCACAGATCGTGGCGGAAAGACAAAGGTTCGTTGACTTTGGCTAGTGCACTTCGTGCGCTCTGAATAAAAAGCGGCAAAGATTGCAAAGCGGAACACTTGTTGACTAAGAAGTCTACTCGTTCTAAGGAATTAGGCTAGACTTCTTAGTCGTATTATTAGTTCCTTAAACTAAGTGGCTTTAAGTAGGCTATAAACGAGTAAAACAAGACCCCAGAAATTAATAAGTAGCAAATACTGTGTTAGGTATTTTAGTCATTGATTTTCTAATCACATAAATAAGTAGCTTAATTTACATATGGGGCGGCGTCGGTCCAAGTGGAAGGACAATAAACGGCTTGATTGTGATAGTCAGTTACTGCATTATGCCAAAATGGGTGATTGTAAAGCATTAACAGCAGCTCTGGAGGGTATTGCGGATCACAAACGCAGCGAATACCTGCAACTTAATCAAGACCACAATCGCGCAACGGCACTGCATCTTGCAGCCAGTGAAGGTCATTGTGAGATGGTACAGATGCTGTTACAACTTGGAGCTGGAGAGTTTCACTTGGCTGGAGGACGCAAGAAATATGCACGTACACCTCTTCATGAGGCTGCAATTAACGGACACTTGGACGTCTGTCGTATGTTGGTAAATTTTGGTCTCTTGGTGGACTGCCACACCACGAGAGGACGTACGCCGCTGATGTATGCGGTCAAAGGGAATTATGTGGATTTGGCACGCTACTTTGTTATCGAAGCGGGTGCTAATGTGAATGAACAAAATGAAATGGGTGTAACAGCAGTGTATATTGCTTGTCAAAACAGACACGAGGAAATGGTAAAGTTCTTGGTTCAGGAAGCAAATGCCGATGTAAATTTGAGCAATCGAACAAACCATGCGCCACTACATGAAGCAGTTGCAGGTGGATTTACAGGAATAGTGGATTTTATGCTACGAAATGGAGCGGACAAATACGTCGTAGACAAGATGGGTGTGACGGTGTGGCACGAGGCAGCAGGCAACGGGTCGGCGGATATGCTCGAGCTGCTAGTCGAGCATGACGTGTCGCTCCATCCAAACGGTCAGGAACAAGTTGACAAGGTAATGGCACGACATCCGTTTCATTATGCGGCCGTGGAAGGCAAGCCAACGTTTGTGCAATTGCTGCTGGAGAAAAAGCTTGTAGACGTGAACATTATCGACATCGATGGCTGTACTGCAGTCTACTATGCTGCTGCAAATGGTCACACCGATGTCTTACAAGTGCTATTGCACTTTGGTGGAGACCCAAACATCGTTTCGATCCGTCGATCGCCTCTGCATTGCGCAGTCGAGTGGCATCGCATCGAGTGCGTCAAACTTCTACTTGAGCATGGTGCTGCTCTGGATGCAACTGATAAGGACGGTCTTACGCCTACCAAGGTGGCGGTACAAAAGGGGTTTCTCGACCTAGTAGCACTCTTATAGACATCATTTTTCCAGCTCAAAGGGGGATTGTATGGGTTATTATTTAAAAAAACGCTACAAGTTATTGTCCTATGGCCAATTTACTCGGCATTCTCGCGGATAAACTGCTCGACCTTTTCAAACTTGGAGCTCACATATGACGCCACCACTTCACCATTCTTGTACACGCGAAACGTTGGAAAACTGTCCACATCAAGCTCTTCACAGAAATCCTCCAACTCTTCTGCGCTCACCTTGAGAAACTTGACGTGAGGAAAGTCAGATTCCATCAAATTCGTCACTTTTGGAGCCACCATTTTGCATCCACCACACCACGGAGCAGAAAATTGAACAACTGTCACTTGTTTCCCAGCAATCGCGGCATGAAAGTCTTCCGACGTGTGAATTTCTATCGGCATCGTTGGCTTTTAGTGAAATTTGAAAAATGAGTCTTGATAGTACAGGACCGTTAGAAACGGGATGCGATTGGCTAAATTCATACGTTTTTTCGCCAGTTTTTCTGTCCGCCATGTCCCGCTGAACCTAAAAATGTCGTTTTTCATAGTCGAGTTTTAACCAATCAACATCGTAATAAATTGCAATTCCCTCTCCATAGTCGCATAGGAAGGTTATGAGTGCAGCGGACAAAGACGTCTCACGTCGCAGCCATCACAGCAACGGACGACAACGTCCCAGTAGTTTTCGACTCAGTAGTAGTGACGAACGTCCGTCATCTCAAGCGTCGCCTCTATCACATCGCACAGGTGGCAAGAAAAAGACAAGTTCTTTATCGATTGAAGAAGGTGATTTTGTATGGGTACGAGATGAATGTGGCGTTTGTACGTCTGCTGTGATCGTACGCACTGGTTTTTTATATGATGAAGAGGCAGAGAAAGAGCAGCACGTGACGGTTGTTCATACAGATGACGGTGAAGAACGTGTCATACGTGACCGACCGTTGGTTAAATTACCAGTGTGTCATCATCCAAAACAGCTGCTTTCGTTGGAACTTCATGATCTGAGTAATGTCCCCCTTATGGCTACAAATGTACGTTTTTTGTGTATAATTTGTGTGTACTTTTGTGTGTACTTATTCTTACAATTTGGTTGAAAATCATATTATGTTTGGTTTTTTTCATTACATTTTTATATTAGGGCGATACCGGACGAACGGAAACGTTTACATCGGAACAATTGGAAAATGTGACGTTGTATATATTACGAGCAAGATATCGTATGGAACAAGTGTATACATGGGTGGATCGAGTATTAATTGGGGTGAATCCCGTCACTCCATTGCCTATTTACACACCTGATCATATGCAAGCATACAGTAAAAGCAGGGAACAAACTCCATTGTACGAGAAAGATACAGTGAATGATGCACCACCACATGTGTTTGCACTTGCACAGAATGCACTACGTTGTATGCAAGATGCAGGAGAAGATCAAGCAGTGATTTTACTTGGAGGAATGGGTGCAGGGAAGTCAGAAGCAGCGAAATTGATTGTGCAGTATTTGTGTGAGATTGGGGACAGTGCTATCCCTCGTCCTGATTTGGAAGGAGATACGGGTATTCTTTATCCCATTGGACAGCAAATTCTGCATGCTTTTACTATCCTAGAAGCTTTTGGAAATGCTGCTACACCATTGAATCCGAACTCGTCGCGTTTTGCAAAAATGATTTCAGTGGAATTTAGTAAACACGGTCACGTGATTGGAGGCGGCTTTACAACGCATTATTTTGAAAAGTCACGCATTGTTGACTGTCGAAGTCATGAACGCAACTTTCACATTTTGTATCAGGTGCTTGCAGGTGTACAGCATGACCCTACGCTTCGTGATTCACTAGAGCTGAATAAAGGTGTGGAGGAATTTGATTTACTAAAGCAGGCGGACCCTAAGCTGACAAACTTTGCACTTGATGCTCGCGATGCCGCGTACCGCGATCTCATGTCGAGCTTCTCGGCTTTACGTATTCGAAAAATCCAACGTGTGGAGATTGTGCGCATTGTGGCAGCGTTGCTGCACTTAGGAAATGTGGATTTTGTTTTAGATCCCGAAGGTGGCAAGTCTGGAAATGATGCCAGTTCTGCAACAATAAGTGATGCACAGTCGTGTATATTGAAGGATCCACCTCAAATTCTGCTTGCAGCAAAGCTCCTTGACGTGGAGCCTGTTGTCTTGGATAACTACTTTCGCACACGCCAGTTTTTTAGTAAGGACGGTAGTAAAACGGTGTCGTCGTTGAAGGTGGTGACTGTACATCAAGCACGTAGGGCACGGGATACTTTTATCCGAAGTTTGTACGAGTCACTTTTCAATTTCCTTGTGGAGACGCTTAATGGTATTTTGGGTGGAATCTTCGACCGGTATGAGAAATCAAATATTGTGATTAATTCGCAAGGTGTCCACGTGCTGGATATGGTTGGCTTTGAGAATCTGGAACCGTCACAAAATACTTTTGATCAACTGTGCTTCAATTACTGGAGTGAAAAGGTGCATCACTTTTACGTACAAAACACATTGGCCATCAATATCTCGGATCTGGAAGGTGAGTCGCAGCAAGTGGAGAACTGTCTGACTGTGCATTCCAACGTAGACATCACGACCGAGCAGGAAAAATGTTTGCAGTTGTTCGAGGACAAGCCTTTTGGTATTTTCGATCTGTTGACAGAAAACGTGAAGGTACGATCTCCCAATGATGAGGATTTCGTGAACAAATTGTTTTCTGGTAGTGAAGCCGTTGGGGGTTTGTCGCGACCAAACATGGGCGCCGATACAACAAATGAATATTTGGCGCCTTCAAAAGACTGGCGACTACTGTTCATCGTTCAGCACCACTGCGGCAAAGTTACATACAATGGAAAAGGACTTTCGGCAAAGAACGCCCTTAGCATTTCCTCAACATGCGCAGCAATCATGCAGTCGTCAAAGAATGCCGTACTGCATGCTGTTGGGGCTGCTCAAGTAGCTGCAGCATCCAGCGGAAAGGCTGCAAAACAAGCTGGTCAGCGAGGAAGCAGCATCTCCTCGAAGTTCAGGAACTCGATTAGCTCAGCAAGAGAGTCTAAGGTGGGTGTTGATAGTGCAGCAACGGATGTTAACAATCAAGCAGATGCCCTGCTGCATGCGCTGAACCACACTGGCAAGAATTTTCTCGTTTGCATCAAACCGAACGAGGAGCTCGAACAAGGGGTGTTTGACTCAGCCTATGTGATGAAACAAATCCGCGATAACCACTTGGTAGAACTGATGCAAGCAAGCCGCTCTATCTTCACAGTTCATCTGACGTATGGCCACTTCTTCAGGCGCTACAAAAATGTATGTGGTCACCGTGGAACATTGGAGTCACTGCTGCGTTCGTTATCGGCTATCGGTGTGTTGGAAGAGGAAAAGTTTGTGGTTGGAAAGACGAAAATATATTTGACTAGCCACCAATGGAAAAAACTGGAAAAGGCACGTTTTTTGTATCTTAACGCGTGCGCGACAATGATCCAGCGAAACATGCTTCGTGGCGGATTCCGCAAAAAGTCGACGCGATTATTGTATGTTATGCGAGGTCTGCGTGAAGCCATGGCACAGCGTGATCAGAACGAAATCATCCAGCATCTGGCCAATTGCAAACACATTCTGGGAAAGCGCGCATCGGAAGACATTCGTCTGTTGAACGAGGGTCAGCAGCTGATTACACGTCTAGACGAGGAGGAATACGTGAACTCTATCATTGCAGATGCCACCAGAATTGGCCATCCTGCCTTGATTGAGTACGCTGTACAAGTCGCAGAAAAGAGTTCTCCGTGGCTAGCCGTGGACCATTTGCGCAAGAAAAGCAAGAGCATTGTAGCGCTTCAGAAGCAAAAATGTGAGAAAATTGCAGCGATTAACAAAAAGCTTCGGGCTTCGATGATTGTCAATGACCCAGAAGCACTTATGGGGTCTCTGGCAACGCTTGAAGAACCTTCGGTCGAGTCGTTGGAAAGAAAACTAGCTACAATGATGATTATCCGTGCTCTCGAGGAGAAAAGTGCTGTGGAGTCCGTGATGCATGCTCTCTCGACGATTGGAACAGATGACGATAATGCTACCATTTTGAAGAAGTTGCTTGGACTGGCAACTAAAGCTTTGTGCCTGGGTGTGGAGGCCAAATTGCCAACCTTTGTGGAGGCTCTCAGTGCAATTCCTTCTGATGTTGATGATACAGTTGAAGATGAGGAGGAAGAACAGCAAAAAGAAGAAATGCTGAAGGAAGAAGAAGCCGTCGCTCTACATGCTGCTGTATCTGTTGACACAACAAACTTATTCGCTGCTCTTCAGAGGGCTTTAGATGACGAAAACTTTATTGCAGTTGAGAAAGTATTAGCCCGTTTAAAAGGACTTGGCGTTAATGAGGGAGATCCCCGAATGGCGGATGCCGAGCGTGCATCAAAAGTTCAAACCGTTCCTGTAACTACACTTTCAGAGCGCAAGCAAATGGTGAAGCTCTTGGCAGTGGCTAAGATTTCACAAGACATCGAACTGCTATCGGAAGCAATTGAAGCTGCTGTTGCGGCTGGTTTAGCAAAGTGGGATTTTAATTTAAAGAACGCTGAACGGGAGCTCGAAAAGCTAGTCGCCGCTGCCGACTTGGAAGATGCTCCTCCTCCGGCCCCTGTTGCAGAAGTAAAGTCGCTATCTCCTAAGCCAAGTGTTCTCGTAAAGAAAGAGCAGAAACCACTGGGACCAACACCAATCAAAGTGCTCTTGCTGATTTGGGAGGCTGCTAATGTCACCGACCTGGACCAGCTGCGATCGTTTGTTTCACCTCAGTTGGAAGCTGCATTTGAAGCAAAGATGACACGATTACAGAAAGTGGCTAGCGTCGAAGGTGCTCTAAGCCAGGCACTTGACAGTGAGGATCCGAAGGTAATTGAACAAGAGCTTGGACAATCTATCAGTATAGGGTTCTGTTCGCCGCTTTTTGCTGCGCTGTTTGACCGCTACTCGATGCTTCGAAGCACTGGGAACGGTGAAGATGCGTCCGATGGGGCTGACGTCATGGATGGGCTGCACGCAGTTATTCGGTTTTTGACTCGTCGACTAGAGAAAAACGCTGAAACGCGCGAAGATGCTGTGCAGCTCCTTTCCACGGAAATTGATGAATTTTCTAGTCCATCAAAAGATGAAAATGAGACTGAATATGATGACATTGAACGTGAACAGGTGCTTCTTACAGCAGGCAATTTACGACGAACTTTAGAGGCTCGTATCACTGCTGCTACCCGCTTAGAATCAGTCTTGGCGCTTCCTACGGATGCATCTTCGGTAGGAGCGTTAAAACTTGGTATTCAGGCTGCAAGAGAAGTCGGCGTACACGAACGACTACTGACGAAAGCTGAAGACAAGATGGTGACAGCAAGAAGAAGGTCTGTCGTTTCCGTTGACCGATTGCGATCTAATGGGCCTGGCACTCTTACTCGCAACGATAGTGAAAACAGCAGCACACACGGCAGCACACACGGCAGCACACACGGTGAAAACAGCAGCACACACGGTGACGGTGAGCGTCCACGTTGCGATACAACGGAATGGCCAGGTATGTCAGGTGAAGACGAAGTTGCTGACAATGTGAGCGACAAAAAATCAAAGTCGAGTGTGGAAAAGGATGCATTGGCATTCAAACATTTTGAAAAGTTACGTGGTTATAACGCTCAATCGGAGCGTGCACTTGCCAAGAAATTATGCTGGGAAAGTCGTGCTATCTCGCAGAGTCTATCGGTACTTGATGATAACCTGGACGAGGTGCCATCTCTCGCTACGTCTGCATCAACCGGACAAATGGCACTCTCGATCAACCGGTGCATTTTAGGATATATGCGGGACCGCATTGTGTTTTACCGTGAAATGCTTGCGCAGTATGTCCTTCAGATCGCATTGACGAAACCTTCTCTCGTGGATGAAATCTACCTGCAGCTTATGAAGCAGTTAACGAAGAATCCCAAGCGAGACAGCAGCATTCGTGGTTGGTCACTTTTTGCTATGTGCGCTACCTCTTTCCCACCTTCGTTAGCGCTTCAGAAGTATGTGCTAATGTTCTTGAAGGCACAAGTTGCTGAGTCGAATAGTTTCTGGCGACTTGTGCGCAACTTTGCGGCCTATTCGCTCAAGAAACTAGACAACCTGCTCGAAAATGGAGCAACAGGTTTCATTCCAAGCATCGACGAGATCTGTGGCTACGAAGCACGACCACCATTCCTGGCGACAATTCAGTTACTAGACGGCACCCCGTTGGCAGATGCCTTCCCGGTCACGCCAGAGCTCACCGCGGCACAGCTCATCGAGATTTGCTCGCACTTCCTCGGTCTAGAAGATCATGTCGTCAACTTTTTAGGCCTCACTGTGATATCTGAGCGCGCGGTTGTTGGCAAAAGCGGCAACTTGGGCTCTGCGGTTACGTCAACGACCAGTTCATTTGTACCGGCTACTAGTGATAGCAACGACCTGGGTGTTGATTGCAGTGATGGCAGAACCGAACCAGGAGCGCTCCCGTCAGCTCTTACTGTCAGTACGTCAACATCGTCGACTCAATCGTCGTCGTCTTCATCGAGCTACTTTCACAAGTTTATCGCAGCCCCGTCATTCTTGAACTCTGATGCGTACCTTGGCGATATTTTTGAGAAAGAACTGATCCGTGGACGCGAGGTGCGGTTTGTGTTTAAGATCCGGCTCAGCCCAGTATACATGCTACAGTACACGGATGACATATACGACCGTCTCGTATACATTCAGGTGCAGGAAGAAATCGTAAAAGGGAATTTGCCAGTACTGGAAGAGGAAGCCCTGATTCGGCTCACGGCACTAGCTATTGCCGTGGACTGCGAAGAAACCCCGCCTGTTTCGGTGGAGGAAATTGTCGAGATGGGTGTCTTAGACTACCTTCCAGAGGAGTGGCGATCCTTGCACGATGAAGAGGAATGGGCTGAGCTTATGCTGGATTCGATCACGGACAACTTTCTCGACGAGCAGGACTCTCTGTTCCCCGTCAGCGAGCTGCAGCGCATTTACATCGACGAGGTGACGCGTCACCGGTTGTATGGTTCCTGTTTCTTTCCATCCAAGTTGGTGAACCGTGGGTCAAAGCGCGATGGCTTTACAAACGCACTTAATTATTGCCTGGGCATTGAGCTGCCAAATTACTTCGTAATCGCAGTAAATGGCTACGGCATGCACATTCTTGGTCGTGACGGCGCCATGCTGGGTTTTTGCGAATACGCGGACATTGCGTACTGTAGTGGTGCGTACCCGCAGTATAAAATCTGCTTGAAAAAGGCAGCAGACGTGGCCGCCCCGATGGAGGATATCATTGTTATGACAAAGTACTCGGCAGAGCTGGATGCACTCATCGCTGATTACAAAGAAATTACGGCACTTATGATCGAGGTGTAGAGATTGTGGTTATGGTATGCAAAATGTCAAACGCATAGAATGTCGATATATTCATTTACCTTCTCGTGCTCTTCTCACGTGTCTGCCCTACAACTTTTCAGTATATAAGTAGTTGGCACAAATTTACAGAGAAGCAAAACCTACCCTTCCAATATAAATTAACAGCTTGGAACACTTGTCCTCTGCACTTTTAGCCACCAACATCCAGTCACTGGCACATAAAGCCATCAGGAAACAGTTCTGCCAGCAAGAACGTTGACGAGATTCGAGCTCTCATGCTCTGGAACAAACACAGACTTCGAATGCTCTCCTGTCCACTGTGGAACACGATATGTGACATCTTTCATCAAAAACTGCATGGTCTTTTCCATAACCACATCCGTTTTCTCAAACACCCGTACTCCCGTTTCTTCAGCACGACGATCCAATTTTGTTGTTGTAGGCTGCAAATTGACAATACACAGTGAGCCCGCATAATCTCCTGCCATTTCCGAGAACGGTTCCACTCGTAAAGACGTCCCTAGCACGAGAGCCACATCGGCAGCTTCACACTCGTCAATCGCAAAATCAATATCTCCTAATGGTTCATCAAAACCCACGACATTTCGTTTCAATCTGCCATTTCCATGTCGTGTCCGTGCTCGTAATCTTTGCTCCACAGACCTTTTGGTACTTACACACTCCGGATCATCACATAATCCAGTCCATGGAAATTCCTTGACGTAAATTTTCTCACACGTTTCACATTTAGCTTGTGTTGCATTACCATGAACTTCTGTCAATGCATTCGCTGGTATTCCACTTTTTAAGTGCAAATTGTCCACATTTTGAGACACAATATGTTTTAAATAACCCAATCGATGCAATTCCTGTAATGCCATGTGCGTCGTCGATGGTACCAATGCATGAAAATCCGGTAGTTTCATCTCACTTTTACCCTCAATTTTGTCCTCTTCCGTGTTCTTTTCGTCCTTCTTTTCATCTGTTTTTCGCCGTCTTTTAGTGGTACATTTGATTTTATCCAAATTCTTGGTACGAATTCCGTGCTCGCCACGATAATCTGGAATACCTACAGACGTGCTGATACCGGCACCTGTAAAAGCCACTAAATGCTTAGAAGTAGCAATTAATTCTGCTAATTTACGGCATTTAGCGTCCAGGTCTTCATTTAAATCTGTTGTAAAGTCTATTGGGACGACTTCGTCTGATTCTCTTGACGTCATGGGCGATACATTCTGTAGATAAAAGTCACGTCTTGCTGCACGTAAAAGTGCCTTCATAGGTGCTAACTGATAATTGTGAGCTGCTGGGAGATACTCATCGCCATCACTTGGAGCGCGACACCTTTTAGCAAACGCTGTTAACATAATAGTAGAGTGGATAAAATAGAGCACTAAAGGATGATAAGTCCAGCGTAGCGATTAAGGTTGGGTTTAAATAGATAGAGGGCTGTAAAATAGAATAGCGAAATAGAAAGTCATGTAAGATGGTACATAGACCACTGCATTGTCTTAGATCAATACATTCGAAAAGTTGCATAACTAGATCATGCGCCTCCTCAAGATTGATTAGGAAACTTCGATCCATGCCTGGCAGTCCAGGCACTCGACTGGACTATCACCGCGGCTTCTGCTACCATCAAAGCGCGCTCAATGTCTGCCGTGCGAATGTGGTGACCATTACCCGTCCTCATATTCACCAGCGAGGTATAGATCCTTGTGTGTGGATATACATGACACCTCCGAGCATATAAACTCTGCAGGGCGCCTTGTTCACCGTACTCTGGTCAAATTGGTGGAATCAGTTGAAGTTCTCTCGCCCAATAACTTTTACGGATCGTCAAGCGAGCGTTTCTACATGTTCTTAAAGTACTCCATACTCTGTACGTGCGAGCACAAGACGTCAGACAGGTACACCCTACGCCAGCACTGTCTCTACAATATTATAGCAACTTTTTGAGCTCATAATAAGGACTTGGATAAGTAGGTTTTAGCTCAACGTGGGATAAACTAATATTTGGATAAACATTTAAACTTTGGTTATGTACTAAAATTTGATAAAAATTGTATTAGAGTATTAGAGCTATCCAACGGATAAGAAATGTCATGTTACGAACCCATCTGCTAACGAAAACATCAAGTTAGGGGCATATCAGTTCTGACAGCGATGTCATAATTATAACAGCAATTAAATACGTCACCACAATTCTGACCACACAATTCAATTTACAAGACACTTGATCCCAATATTAAACCACATTGTCCAAAACATGGACAACCTCAGCGTCAATAAAGAGTATCCTCCCATTCACGAGCTTGCTAAGACGGCTCATATCAAGAATGTTGAACAATATGAAGCCATGTACAAGCATTCGCTTGAGGATCCAGAGACTTTCTGGGGTCAATTGGCGATTGAGAATCTCAATTGGTTCCGTCAATTCGACCAGACACTTGCAGGTACTATACACAAAGGTGATGTGGCTTGGTTTCTCAATGGTCAACTCAATGTGAGTGTCAATTGTATTGACCGTCATGTCAAGAAACATCCAGACAAGGTCGCTATCATTTGGGAGGCCGATGAGATTGGTGAAGGTCGTACGATTACGTACTTGGAACTACTGGAGGAGACGTGTCGTGTGGCTAATGCCATGAAACATGCTGGTGTCAAGAAAGGTGACACTGTAGCGATTTACATGCCCATGATTCCTGAGATTGCATTCGTCATGCTCGCTTGTACTCGCATCGGTGCTGCACATAGTGTTGTCTTTGCTGGGTTTTCAGCGGACGCTCTACGTGATCGACTCATTGATGCCAAGACTCAATGGGTCTTTACTTCAGACGAGGGCAAACGTGGTGGTCGCACGCTACCGCTGAAACAGATTGTCGACGTTGCTGTGAATGGTCTTGAGTTTGTACGTAACGTGTTTGTCTTTAAACGGACACACAACCCACAAGTAAAAATGAATCCGAAAATTGACATTGACATGGACGAAGAAATACTGCGTCATCGTCCGTACTGCCCTGCAGAGTTTATGAACTCGGAAGATTTGATGTTCATCTTGTACACATCGGGATCAACTGGTACCCCCAAGGGAATTGCTCATACGACGGCTGGCTATCTCTTGTATGCTATGATCACTTGCAAGTACACATTTGACTTGCAGCATGACGATGTGTACGCTTGTGTCGCTGACGCGGGCTGGATTACTGGACACAGCTACATTCTGTATGGTCCGCTTGCCAACGGCGCCACTACGGTCATGTTCGAGGGCACACCTATGCACCCGGATCATGGTCGCTACTGGGATCTGATCCAGCGCCACAAGGTGACCAAGTTCTACACTGCCCCGACGGCGATTCGTGCGTTGATGGCTCGCGGCAATGACAAGATTAAAGAGTATGATCTGTCCACCTTGAAAATCCTTGGTAGTGTTGGCGAGCCGATCAATCCAGAGGCGTGGAAGTGGTATTACGAGGTGGTGGGCAACCGCCAGTGCTACATTGCCGACACATATTGGCAAACGGAGACAGGTGGACACATTGGCGTTGGCCTTCCAGCTGCCACCCCGATGAAACCCGGATCGTGCACGAAACCGTTCTTTGGCATTGATTTCGTATTGACGGATGAGATCGGTAACGAGATCGAGGGCAACGGCGTTGAAGGTCAGCTTTGCATCCGTAAGCCCTGGCCCGGTATAGCTCGCACAGTGTATGGCAACCACAACCGTTATCTTCTCACGTATATGGCGTCCCACAAGGGTCTGTACTTCACTGGAGATGGCTGCCGTCGCGATAAAGACGGGTACTACTTCATCACTGGCCGTATCGACGATGTTCTGTGCACGTCCGGTCATCGCATCGGTACAGCAGAAATCGAGAGCGCTTTGGTGGCACACAACGTAGTAGCCGAGGCCGCGGTGATCGGTATCCCTCATCGTATTAAGGGGGAGGGTATCTGCTGCTTCGTGACGCTACTGAACGGCGTAACACCAAACGACAAAGTGCAGAAGGAGTTGATGATCCAGGTACGGTCGCACATTGGCGCATTTGCGACACCTGACCTGATTATTCTCGTGCCTGGACTGCCGAAGACGCGCAGTGGCAAGATTATGCGCCGCGTATTGCGCAAAATCTCTCATGGCGAGGAGGATTCGCTCGGCGACGTGTCCACGCTGGCTGATCCATCTGTGGTGCCAATATTGATCACGAACACGAAGGCAGCACTCGTTGGAAAGTCGTTCTAAAGTCGCCCCGCCTCATTCTCGACTCCTGCTCGTCTTGTATTGATCGTCGTCACATAGTCACCGCTCGCCGCTAAGTATACACGGACTTTTGCTCAAAAAAATGAATTGTATCTGCTGTGTCAACTTTGCGGTCTCTAACATGAAATTCTAAACTTAATATTTCGACAAACTGCTCGTAAACCTCAAATTCTAACGTTAGAATTCACCCAGCATGGCGACAATCCCTGCAGTTCGCAGTCGACGTCGGCGCGACCGCTCCTTTGGTCAAATCCCATTGAGTTCAAGCGAGATCGAGCTCTATTCGCGTCAAGACGAGGTGACACGTCGGAGACGTCGACTTTTGGCCGTGCGCGACGAGGAACGGCGTCTGGCACAGCAAATGACGCTGCGATATCGTAATAATCTGCAGAAATTGCAGTACAAAAAGCTCCACACGTTCCAAAAAGAGTTGAGCATTGAACAGCAAAAGATGTTGAATGAACTGTATGCTCACTATCAAAAATCACTGCAGAGCACAGGGACAGAGCAGCGCAATGCGCGTTTGAAGCTACGGAAGTTCATGGAACAGGCCCAGAAAGAAAAGAACAAATGGACTTTTGATTGGGATATTGGAAAAAAAGAACGGACAATTGAAGCACATAAAGCTCAAGAGAAGGAAGCGGCGGTCGTGACGGCTGCAAGACGGCGACAAAAGGAGCAGAGGAGAGAGAGACTTAAAGTTGTGAACAATCAGCAGGGACGACGAACCATTGCTGGATTTCGACAGGAAAATGAAGTGGTTCGGGAAAGAGTTGAAGGTAGAGAAGAACTAGAGACGTTGAGAAAGATGCAGTGTTCTGAAGAGGTGGTTGCCACACCTAGACCACATCAGAAGGATAAAATGTCGTATCGAACTGATGGTGGTTCAATGACGACGTCGAGACCGGTAGCAACGGTGCTCCAACATGATAGGAGACACTCGACAGCGATGCGAGGAAAAGACGAGAAGATGAAGTACAGGGACGAGATTGATCACGAACGAAAACGGGAGCAATTGATTGCGGAAGCACAGCAGAAGAAGGGATTAGAGAGAGGTAGAAAAGCTCTTAACGAGGTTGTGCTGAGACGACAAGGACTGCAAGCAATGGAGTGGTTGGCGTTGGTGGACAAAATGGAGCGGCGAGCACGAGGACAGGATCTGGGAGGCGGAGAGGACTATTTGTTGCATGCAGGAGATGTCAATGGAGGAATGGACAAATCGGAGCGCATAGCAGAACGAGCATTTGCTCAGATGCTTGGTCTGGATGACGATTCAGTCGAATTGTCGGTTTTCTCTATCAATTCAGATGACACACGATCAGTCACTTTGGCTGATCATGATCACGAGCTTGTGAACGGTGATGAGGCCGCATTTGCAGATTCAGGTTACAGAGCAAAGCTTAGAGGAACGAAATGCAGCGGTTCTTTCGACTTGTATGACAGATCAGAGTCTATTGGTCCGGTCACAAGATGTCAGGATGAGCATGCTGAGCACAGACATGGGGAACCGTTGAAGACGACCACACTCGGCAATTTGCAGCGTACACAACTAGAAAAGCTCAAGAAAGCGGAGGATATGCACACGACAGGTTTACGGCTCGAAGAAGCTAAGGTACCTTCGAAGGCTTGTAGCGAGGTACGCGACAGCGAGTATGAGGACAAGCTTAACATGTCGTCAAAACTGAGAGACGCTTGTCACGAAAAGACGTATTCTTACGAGAACCACTCTTCCACACTAGCTGCTGATGACGAAGACAAAGATTCCAATTCAAAAGCGTGGCTTCAAGACCTAGGGGACGGACCCCCAAACTTGAATTTCAGTGCAAGTCGTTTGTCAGGAGCACCTTCGGAAGTATCGTCAACTGAAAATGTGCAGTCAAAAAACCATCTGGAGAATGAGTGTTCCAAGGCGATAAGTGTAGAGCGCGACGACTCTTTGCGGTCTGTCTTTCATTCTCGGAATCATTCCGAGAATGAGATGGAAAGTGTAGAACTGAATATGGGGCAGTTGGGACATAATTGTGGCGTAGTCGATTGTGCGTTGCTAGAGACACCATATTCGCAGCGGGAATGGTGCACGGCTACAAGTGATCAATTTATCTCTGGCACTTCAGGGCATCAAGACAAGTATGGAAACGCAGAAGAGCAGTCTGAGAGTACTAATAAAGTAGAAGAGCATTGCTCTGCTTCTCATAGGTTATATGCCTCACCACAGAGCTTGGCAATGGATGAAGTCAATGAGGAGAAGGTTCTTGAGGTCGCGCGAAAGCTCAGTAAGCAAGTCTTTGCGACAGGATCTGTTGACGCATCGTTGGTTGAAGGTGCAAAGATTTTATCAGCAAGTTCTTCTCCCACGAGTGATGCTGGCAATCACGAATATTACGACAAGGGTCGCGTTTTCGATAGTACGGCCATTGGCGATGATGAGCGGCTCTCGTTATCTGATTCATTTTCAGCTTCCAGCCAAAAGTCTCTTTCGCAGCTTGATCAAGTGGGAAATGACAGAATAAGGTCACTGAAGCAATTGTCTATCGACCAACAAATGTTGGCATTCTCGAATTCGGAGGGATTTAATGAAGGCGAAAGAGAAGCTAAATCACATCGTTCATCTATCGGTACCAATAGCGCGCGCTCATCCGTAAATTTCAGTTTTCGTGATCTGTATTACCAACGGAGAAGCAGCACTTCAGCTGTGTCTGTCGCCCAGTACTCTCTACCAATTTCGAATTCGCAACATTCATTTGACGAAAGCGTGGACCGACTTCACCTAGAACACGATGATAGCTTCGTAAATGAGCTGGTCCCGATATTCCCTAAGCACACGTTACCGCCACCTCCGCGGTCTCTTGAAGAGGATAATCAAGCGCTTGAGGAGTATGACATTCAGCTCGTCGCACCGAATATGAGCAGAATGTTGACATCAGAGCAATTATCCTTCTTTAGGAGCAGTCAACAATGCTTAAATCACCAGGCTACGGCAACTGACCAACTACGTCGTCAGCCTCCAGCAAATACGACCATGCAAACAGAGGAAAATCGTCCATCGACTCCCTCTGACAAGATTGCGCTCTCATCATCATCATCCAGTTGGCGGAGTTACTCAGACTCTTCCAGTGGTGGACCTGATGCAACCAGTCTTAACACTTCGGTGGAACAGTCACCATTGCAACAACACGAAGCGACTGGACAGATTCGACAATTGACCACAGTGGCCGCGGGGCCTAAAAGCCGTCAGCATCCTGGGATCAACCAACCGTCAACAGATGATTGGAAGGAGCGAGATGCCCTGTCAGCCATATCTAGCGAGTCCGGTTTTTCCAGCCTTGGCTTTACTGTTCAACTAGATGTTGCAGCTGGTCCTACTTGGAAGCTCGATACTGGTGATGATGGACGAGTCATCCCCAGCAGTGTAGATAGTCAGCACAATCGTCATGCTCAGGAATATCCGTCTGATGATGAAGTGGACAAACAGAGCATCGCCTCTGAACGAAGTTTTGCATCTAGTTCAAGCATGTCACTGGACGCATATTTCGATTACCTCATTAACCTGACTTCGACTGTACGAGAATCCTTGCCGCTGCAGCTTCAATTGCCTGCAATGATGTACGGCAAGAAGGATATGACAAAGCTACCGGCACCAATAACCTGGTCGACATCGTCAGCATCCTCGGTTACAACTGCGAGCAAGGTGGACCAGAGCGATGTTTCAGAGACGAGTTCTCTTTCCGTTAGAAGGAGCATTGCTAACTCGGATTCCCTCCTTAACCACCCACCTCGCTCCGGGAAGATAGATCATCTGGGTCATGATCGCAGCTTGCCACACTCTGCTGTCAGTTACCAGAGCGATGAATCCTATGCAAGACAAGTGAGTGGACATACGAGGGGATCTGGAAAAGTGGCACGCTCTACATTTACCGACAGCAAGCGGGAAACTACAGAGTTGCGACTGTCTTCATTAAGCTCAAGCAACATGAGCCAGCCGCCAACACCCATGCAGAACTTGAGCTGGAGTTCAGATGACTATGGATCATCCGATGAACAAAGCACCGACGATAGTCAACTGCATCACGTCCTATCTCCTCCGCTGAGTTACATTGACACTCATCAGCCAGCAGCTCCTATACAGCGTTTCGGCCAAAGCTTGAATGACTCGCAATCATCATCAGAACAAAACTTTAGAGATCGGTCATTTCAAAGGCGAGGCGTCTAACGTCGTCCTCACCACCACTCATACGACGCTAAAGAAGAGAGTAAGCAAGACGATTCAAGCAGCGAAAGTAGTGTATCTTCGCACCGCAATGCATCCTGGAGTAGTTCAGCCGCAAGATCACGCCGTCAAAGCATGCGGCAAGTACGAGGGGGATCAAAATTGTAAGAAACTGACACTAGCAGAAGCTTATCAGTCTGCTTCGGTCAGCGAATTAATCGCCATCGTGACAAGCTTAAACATCAAACAGGACAACAACAAGAGCAGCAGCACGACAAAGCAATCTGAAGACGAAAAAAAGAGCACAGCAAACATTAATCGAACCAAGATCTCATCTCCGCGAGATCAAAAGCGCGCAGCCGCTGACAATTGTATCATCAACTTCCTGAAGTTGTCGATCGCAAGTGACAAGATAAAATGATGCGTAAACGCCGACAACACCTCCGACGAGCTGCAAAAGCAGGATATGGTGCGTCACTGCAATTTATTTTCCATCATATCTCAAGCTATGAAATGGTATTCAAACTTTTGTGTTTCTTGCCGCAAAACCCATTACCAGGAACAACCTTTCTTCATCCAAAACAGCATCGACAGTAGCAGCACAAATTGCTGCTTTGTACAACAAACTGCTACTGTTTTTTAGGATGTTTAATACTGTCATCCGTCAGGTTTGGAATGGTCTATACATATAGAACAAGGTACAATCCCAATACATTTAACGAACCAGCAAAAAAAAGAGAGATCGAACATATAGTGCAGTAAGTACTAAAACTTACGAGATCAGGCTGAAGAATCGCATGCATTACACTGGATCCGGCAAAGAGCGAGCCCAGTGTCGCACTGAAGAGAATGATGTACTGCTTGGCCGTCACTCGTGCCATGCCTCTCGTCGTAATAAAGGGTACTCAGTTTGATTGGTCAATACTCAGAATTACCCAATATTCAAAAGTACCCAATATTCAAAAGTACCCAATATTTAAAAGTACCCAATTTGTTTGTAATTTATTTTGCAATGTTTCGATGGGGTATCCGTGGGTTCTCTTTGAAGGCGATGCCGCCATCAATGCGTCCAAAAAAGCAGTATAAGAAGAAAAATCACTTTATCACGGCAGGCCTTCCACTTGTTCTTTTTATTGTTGGTGGTTACGTGGCATTGACGCAGGTAAAGTATGTCTAGTATAAGGAGATAATAATGATGTAAAGTCTTTTGGTAATTTATTGTGGTATTTTATTCACAGTTTGTTGGTGGTAAATATGAAGCAAGGGACCATCTCGTGAAAAGTCAATCCGAGCACAAATTTAATTTGGAAGAAGAACACAAGGTGCGTTTTTTATTTTGTAGTCCCAAAAAACATATGACTTTTCGATCTCATCGATTTTATTTTACATCATTCTACTCAGAAAATGACGGCAAAGTTGGCTTTTGATGATTTTGAGCTAAAACCTGTACCTCGACCAAAAGATTCTTAACTAAATTGACACCCGTAACAAAACAGACTAAAACCGGTACCACTTCAGTAATCATGGAAAACCAATGTACCGTATCATTCTCCTTATTTCCGAATCCCTACATCAGCCTCAAAAAGCAAAAACTTCGAGAATGACGACATCGTCGCGGTCTCGGGCTCCATTACCACCTGATTCCAGCGGGTTCCCTCGTCTTTTTCATCCCATCTCCCTCTTCATCTTCTTCTCTGGTGTCTTGGCTACATATTGCACTATTATTCTCCAAGAATGGAAGCCTATAGACTACAGTAACATTGGTCATGTCAAGTCATCGGATTTCTTGTCTTATGGTCCCATTGATGTCGTTTACACGTGGGTAAATGGTACTGATCCACGGTGGAAGAAAGAGAAGGAGTTTTGGCATAAACATTGGATTGCATCATTGACAGGACAGCCGTTACCCGTCTGGGGAGAACAAGAAACTCTTGATATTAAAGGGAAGGACGATTCGAATTCGGACAATCGATTTCGTGATAATGAAGAACTTCGATACTCTCTTCGTTCATTGGAAAAATATGCTCCTTGGGTGCGTCACATTTATGTCGTCACCGATGGTCAAATCCCCTCGTGGCTCGATATTGAGTCATCGAAAATTTCAATTATCAAGCACGAAGTCATTTTTACCAACAAAAGTCATTTACCGGTTTTTTCCTCTCCGGCCATTGAGTGGAATTTGGATAATATCCCGGGACTGAGTGAGATGTTTTTGTACTTGAATGACGATGTGTTTCTAGGCTCACCAGTACGACCTGAGGATTTTGTAAGTCAAGCAGGGGTACAAAAAGCTTATTTTGCTTGGGAAATTCCACTTTGTTCCAGTAGATGCTGGGAAGCAAGTCTTGCTAATGGAAGATGTGACAAAGAGTGCAATGTTACAGCATGTGATTTTGATATGGGGGACTGTGGATGTGACGTGAACCCAGTGGATGGAGCTGTGACATGTGATGCCGAAAAAATTGCTACAATTTTGGACCAGTCGCCGACAATTTCGAGACTTGATAAAGATATGTGTCAAGGGACATGTTATTATCACTGGCTGGGAAATGGATATTGTGATAGTGTCTGCAATGTAAGCTCCTGTGCATTTGATGGAGGTGATTGCAGAGCGATGGAAGTAGATGATGATGAGGAGGAGAAGGAGGAGGAAGAGAAGGAAGAAGCGGGATTATTATCGCCATTGGTAAAGGAACTTTGGTCGGCAGATGTGGTAACAAACCACACGCTTGTACAGGTGCCGTTGGATGTAAATGCTACATATTTAAACCTCACGGATGCATTCGGTGTTAACGGTAGTATCTGGACTGCTGCACATGACAATGAAAATCTGATTCGTTTCGCATCTGTTTACGAGACGGAAATGGTTCTACTACTTGTGTTTGGCCGCGACAGAGACGCAAACCCGATAACAACCAGTGCTCAAATATCAGTTGGCGGTGAGGACGCGGAAGGAAATCCTATTCACTTGGAGCTCTCAATAGTGCGCGGAAAAGATCAGATCGAGGCGTCTTCTAGTCCTGCGCAAGTGGGATATGCTACAGAAATTTTTGGAGGAGTGTCTACCTTCCAGAATACCAGCATCCCGCCACACCGTATACGTCTGCCTCTCGATTTCTGGCAAGCTACTTTTCGCATTGTCATTGTATCTAATAATGAAGACTCGGGCCACGCTACTACTACAACAGAAGACAATGAGGAAGTCTTTTCAGACTTGTCACTCGAGGATAAACGTACTGCTGTCGCTGACAGATTATCTCGTCAAGTGTCGCTAGTTGAGGTTTTCCTACCATTCAATGTCACCGGAAAGCAACTGGGTGACGGAGATCTTCTTAACCTTGGTTGGCACATGGATCTTCGACTACATAACGACGAAAAGGATATTGACTGGAGCAGCCACGATGTTTGTCAACTACAGGTTCCGATGAAGAAGCCACTAGTACCTCCTACTGCTTTTACTGTCGTTGTTAGTGACGAAAGTAGGAAAAGGAGTGCCGTGGGTGACAGCAGGCAAGGTTCTTCCGTTGGCAAGACGCAGACTGAAGACGACGGTGTTCCAGTTATTGGCGTGTCTATTGCAGAGACAAATAATGAGGAGACTCTTGTGAAGGGAAATGTTGAGAAATACAGTGAGCATACTGAAGACAAGCGAGAGGAAGATGCCGGAGCAGGAGTCTTCGAACCAGATAGCGAAACTGCCAAGTGCCGTCTCAATGAAGAAAACACTGGTGTTTTTGTCACTGTTCGTGTGCTGACCAACCATGCGCACAATGTATTCTCGGCGGGAACCGGTCGCGGGCTTGATGGCGACGACGTCGAGACAGATACGCCTCAGACTGCGGAGAAAAGCAGCACGTCTGCAAGTAACGATGCTGCTGCTTCAATCAAGACTAATGGGGACATGTTGATGAAGCAGAGGGGGACAAGTCCGCAGGTGACTGATGGACAAATTTGCTTCTATGACACAAATCGCGATGACCCATCACGTAACCGCTACTGTTTTGCATTAGCCATGGGACACTACCACTCGGAAGAAGTGACGTTGGTGCACAAGCCAACACTTTGGGCATTGCTGCATACGCCCAAGCCACAGGCGATCTACACACCATACATGGGAGATAATCCGGCTCTAATTGAGTTGTCCGACAGATGTATTGACACCACTAGACGTCTCGTTGGAATTCGGTCTCGAATCTGCTACTTTAATGAAGTGCCTGTCCCACGCCCGCCTGTCATGGATGAAGCGAGGGTGGACTCGCAAAGGCAGCAAGAAGAAGACCCGGTGGCAGCACGCAACCGTCTACACCTCCACCAAAGCCGTCGGCTCGCATGCGAAGCTCAGAAACGACGATTAGCACAACACAAGGAGCGTGAGCAAGAGGAAGGCAAAGCTCAAGCTAGTGGTGATATCCTCGGTCGTTTGAGTCACGCTATCAGAAACATGAAGTTGGCATTTAATTTTGGGCATGTGGTGCCTACAAATGACAGCTTGGATCACATCGAGTACGAGAACGTCTGCGAGGATTTACCTGTTTCTGCTGATAAGAAGAAGCCTGAGGTGACGCTGGAAAACGCGCAAGCCCACCTGTCCAAGGACACCTTTGGAGATTCGCTACGTTATGTAAACAAGTTGTACAATCGTGTTTTTGGCAAGCCCAAGACACCAGACCGACGTCGTGTACCGTCACACATGCCGTTCTTGCTGCGAAAGTCGATAATTCGTGAAATTAAGGACTACTGGGCAAAGGAAGTTCAAGATACGTCGGCACATCGCTTTCGCCATCCGCAAGATATGCAGTTCAGCTTTTCGTACTTCCATTACTTGATCAATCGCGCAAAGATCCACCCACACACGCTGGAAGAGATCTGGCGCGAGTATTTGGACGCAAACCAAAATGGCATCCTGGACGAGAACGAGGTGTTGACTGCCGCCAGTCTTGCACACGGAGATGCACCTTCTGAAGATTTCGTGACTGAAGTTCGTGAGTGCATGAAGTCAGAAAAGCACGTGAAGGTGCGTGAGGTCCCGACGGCCGAGGGTACGCTGCGACTTACCGAGACGTTGACACCGTATATTACGTTGGAAAACCTTGAGCGATGCCCAAAGATACGAGACGCTTTGGTTGAAAATGTGCGGTACGAATCAGAGGTGGAGCTGATGTCAGAAAAAGAAGTGACGTTCCACATGCTGAGCGACAATTACAATTTTGCGTGGAAGCAAATGATGGGCACACGTGCTCGACGCACCAAATTTGTTTGCATCAATGACGACATGAAGTTCCCGTCGTCAGCAGTGAGTCAAATTCTGCACGAGCTTTTCCTGTCCATCTGGCCCAAGCGCTCGCAATTTGAGCTGCCGTATCACCTCAAGAACCGTTACGCACACATCGACGAGTACAACGCCGCACAGGAGCGTCGGCAAATTGCAGTTTGGATTGCACTGATGATCCCACTGCTTGTCGCTTTTGTCTTCCGTGCCGAGCTCCGTGCAATGCTTGCGTTCCAGGATATTGCTCGGGCACGAGCTGAATCTGCCTCCCAACTTGCCCAGGGCTTCCAGCAAGCTCAGGAAAAAGACAAGTAGCTTAGCGAGACTTAAACGACGGTGAAGGAAACGTCTACACGTTCTATCTAAACGTGTTTACAGAACAAACGACGTACGAGGAAGGCGTCAGCCTACAAGAAAGTAGTAGAGGAATGCAACGGGTACAGTAGCATAAGGCAAATGCTTTTTTTTCTCAAATTTATGCAAAAAATCATGAGGAAGAAAGCGTCCCAAGTTCACTAGCTTGATTCCAATGGTCGTCATGGTCAGTGAAAGCGACGAAAACAGCAGCAGCAGTAGCATCTGATCAAGCTTTCACTTGACACTCTTGTCCGCTGACTCGATGTCCTTTTCTAACTTCCATCTTGTGTCTTAAAAATCAACGACGTAGAAATGATCGATCGATGCAAAAACGACACAATATCGAGAAATGAATGAGCATCTTGGAGACATTCCACATCTCCAAATCCACTAGTCCATCATTGATAGACTACTAAATTGTACCACAAAGTGAGCCTCTCTCTCTCTCTCTTTCAGACTCCCTCTTTAATCTAGTACACATCAGGTGATTGATGGTACCCAACAGTTGCATTTGTACTAGCTTGTAAATGAACTCGAAGTGTGTAATTAGCTTGTTCCAGACGCTTCATATGTTCTGCTGCTTGTGTCGCCAATTGTTTCAGTGTTTTATTCTCCTGTAAAACCTCTTCTTTTTGCTGGTTTTGAATAGCAACAGCACGTTTTAACAGTCGATTTTCGCCTTCAAGTCGCACCATTTCATTTGTCTGACAAGTCACTTGATTTTGTGTAGACTGAAGCTCGTGGGCAAGACGTTGAACGTCCAGTTCTTTCTTCATCATCAACTGGTCACATTCTGTCTTTATCCGAGCAATTTCAGCTTGTTTCATGTGTTCAAAGTACTCGACATGGCGTTGACTGTACTTGGCTACATCCGCATCATCATTATTGTCGTGTTGAATATTGGTGTCGACCACACAACGTTGGCGTTTATTCCGTATAAGGTCAAGCGATTCATTTAAACGGGAGCGTTTCTTTAGACCATTAGGGCAGACTGTCACGAGGAAATAAAAAGACAGGGAGATGATTCATTGTGTGTACATGAAGAGACAGACCGAAAGAGAAAAAGAGGGGGGAAGTTCTTACCTGGGGACGCAGCAATTGAAGCCATTGTGATTTATTCTCTATAAGGACGTTTGTTTTGCAACGGACGGGAGAGTTGGTGACGAAGTGTGTAGACTAAATGTTTGTATAAGATGGATTTTTTCGGAGTATTCGCTTAAATGCGATTCGAATGTACAGGGAACGGATGATCGTTATATCAGTACATTATATGTATCCATATGTGATACATATAGGTTAGTCTAATGTATCCATAGTCATTGCTCTGGCTTTTGTGGCAGTTTACGCTGACTGTTGTCGTATGAAAGCATTTAACATACTACATTTTAGTACTAAATCAGAGCTACAGTAGCTTAATTCTCATTTAAAATCAAGTATTTCTTCAGTTGGTCGATACAGGACATCATAACCTCGAGTCTTTAGCCTCTTCGCCTTATTGATTGGTCAAAGCATGTCTCCCTATCCATCTTGTTATTCCTAACGACACGACACGACACTTGTACGTTTCGATAGTGTAAACTTTGTTCGTTTTACAATCAGTCTTTCTTTCTACATGACGCTCAAGTCACTTTCATCTCGATCCGAGCATTTGTCCCGACTAAAAGTAGATGAACATCTTGAACCGAACAATCTCTTGTCATTGGAAAAGCATGTAGAAGCCATAAACACGAGCAAACCGATGGAAACTACCAAAGCAAAACACTTTTCCACTAATGAACCCATAGACACAAGCAATGACCAGGTTAAACTCTCGAGAGGTCGACAATTGTTCAATTGGGTGCAACATTTACGTCAAACCTTTAAGACTTCGACCCTCGTGCTGATCATTGTCGTGTATATTGTACAAGGTTTTGCGAGCTTCACAGCCCTTGGTATCAATTATTTTTTCAAGGAAAACTTAAATCTACAGCCAACGCAGTCTCAGATGCTTCAAATGTTAATGAAAATGCCCTGGAGAATCAAACCAGTCTATGGGATTCTTTCAGATTCGTTACCATTGTTTGGATACCATCGCAAGTCCTACATGATGTTGTGTAGTATCCTGGGTACAATTGCTGCATTGACGTTGGCAGTCCCTGATCTTGTCACGACACCAAGTGTGGCAGTACTGGTGCTCATGGCACAAAGTCTATCGATGGCTGTGATTGATGTGGTGATCGATGCAAGGGTGGTGGAAATCTCAAGGCTGGATCCGAATAATGGGGCAAACGATTTACAATCAGTCTCATGGATTGCAATGTCACTGGGTGGCATGATTGGTGCTTTCCTGTCGGGTCCTGCTACCAAGAGTTTGGGCGTGCGTGGGGTGTTCGGCGCTTCAGCGTTGGGTCCGCTCACAACGTTACTGTTTTCCATATTCATGGAGGAATCAAAGAGTACGCTGAGTAAGAGTCAATTTGTGTCCTCGGCGACGACACAACTTCGGCAACTCAAGACCGCCATTTGTACCCCGGTAGTTTGGATGTGTGCTCTGTGGGTGTTCATCTCACATGCAATCAGCCCAGCGTATTCACAGATTGCCTTTTACTTCTCGACCGACGTGCTTCACTTTACTCCCGAGTTTTTGGGAATTGTATCAGCCATTGGCTTTATTTTTCTGATGGGAGGAACAATGTTGTACAACTTGTTCTTCGCAAACGTGTCATTTCGCCGAATCTTCCTAGTCGCGCAGCTATCCCTGGCTCTCGTGTCACTGGCAGATGTCGTATTGGTGACGCGTACTAATCTTGAACTCGGCATTCCAGACAAGGCTTTTGTACTTGGTGACCACGTGATTGCAGATGTAATAGGCCGGTTGAAAACCATGCCAATCATGGTTCTCTGTGCCAAGCTGTGCCCCAGGGGTATCGAGGGCACGCTCTTTGCGTTACTCATGTCCATTTCTAACGTTTCAAACAGTGTTAGTGAGTTTTGGGGTGCTATGCTCTGTGACTGGATGGGTATTGCCAAGGACGAGTACGATATGTTGGGGACGGCCATTGTCGTGCGCAGCGCATTGAAACTAGTGCCCATTTTCTTTCTCTTCTTGATCCCCACTTCAGACCCACAAGATATTATCGACAAGCTCGACCTAAGCACACCAAGCGAGGAAGACAATGATGAAAAAATCGGCACGATTCGACAAGACCACAAAGTAGATACCTGCTCACCTTCAGAAATGAAAGTTTTGAAAGTTACGGCCACTGCTGTCCTTTGATGGATTGGAAGTGGCATCGAGGCTTTAGCTACAGTAATTCTGTCCAGCATATATAATAGCGTGAATATCATTTGCTTCGCTTCAACATCGATCATGCTGATTATGAATCCATCAATCCGAGCCTGGAAACTTGTTCTTGAATTCCTGCTGTCACAGTTCAATCTCAAGTGGTCCTAGTCGCTTTATAATCCAAATCGTTTCAAGATACCCTACGCTATCGCTACTTATCAAAAATGGAGTCGTCGTTGTCGAACGTAACACTACTACAGGATTCCGAGACAAGTTCGTTGGTACTTGTCATACCAGCGCGTCCGCCAATTGTTAATGGATTGGTCGATCAGCTGGTTCACAAACACTTGACATGTGCTCGTACGTGCGCCTGGTTTAAGACGCGCACGAAGGCCTTCAATCACCGCTTTTTTTCCACCAGCAAAGCAAGGCAAATCAGCATTCCCCACAAGCATCATCTCGACAAGAAGGACGATTTGGCTCATGTTTCGACGGAGTGCCAGGTATGCACGGATGCAGAGGGACCGGAAGTAGCGGAATGTTGAGCTACGGGGTCCACCCATAAGCTCTACGAATTCATCGGTAAGCTTGAATGGGGCCCGCTCAAAATTCCAGTTACTGCCAGGACTATTGGTGAGTAAGAAACCAAAGTCAATGTGGATCACATGTCCGTCGGTGTCCACTAGGATATTGCCATTGTGACGATCTTTAATCTGGAACACGTAGCAAACGATGGAGTAGGCCGCAAGACTCTCTACAAAGTTTCGCTGGGCTCGAGTAAACTCAGCAGTATCCTTGTCGCCGTGAAGGCGAATGTAGAAATCCCTGCACCAAAACAAGTAAGTGAGTGCTGGTACTGACTGACGACAAGAAGGTAAAACTAGATTGACTTACTGGAGCGTGGTGTAGCCGGGATCATTCCGCTTCAGAGAATCCAGAGAAACGGTGTCAGGAACGGCCTCGATGAGTCCAGTCGTAGCTGACGTAGCGATTACGTTATACGGTCTAAGGAAATGGATCAAGCGCAACATCAATAACAAGTATATCCTCAAAAAAGCACATGGCAAACTTACCTCAGCGACAGAGGAAGCGAGTACTCGCGGAATATCCGATCACACTGGGCAATCAGCTGCGCTGCAAACTGCTCCTGGCGCAAGTCGTCATTGCTCTTTACAATAACAGAAAGAAGTCGCCATCCAGGGTGTTCTCCATACGGTGATTCGTTACGAATACGCGCTTCCTTCTCACTCCAGCGCTCACGGAAAACGATCATCGGCTTCTCATCCTCATCCTCAGATGTCTCGTGCTCCCCATCGGCATCGTCGTCAACCACGTCTACATCTGGCTCTTCCTCAGTCAGGCCATCATCCAAATCAAATTCTTCTTTCCAAGCTGTCGGATCAGCAAAATCAAGGCTGACGCTCAGATCACGTCGTCTTTGTCGGAAATGGTCCTTGTCCTCTGACACATTGTTGCTCTCGACATCAGGTGCTGAGAGTGTCGAAGAACTCACATCTGGGTCGACGTTTTCAGATAGTGCAGTCTCGTCATCAGTGCAAGCCGTAGCACGATCCAGATTGGCAGGAAGTTGCTCAGTAAGCTCCATTACAGAGTTCTGAGAGAGCCCCAATACAGCAGGATCCTGTTTTTCAGAGACCTTAGTTACGGGCGAAGGCTCCGGTTCGCATACAAATTCGTCGTCGCCCAAAATGTACCCACCGCTTGAGTCTGTGTCCTCGCCATCTGCATCCTCAGCTACCGAATCATCCGTCATACGTCCATCTTTTGAAGACACGGAAGTTCTGTCGACAAGATTGTTTTCGGACAAATGCACCTTCTTCAACTCCAACTCCTCGTTGTTCGCATCGTCGGCATCAACTTCATCCGAAATTCCCACTTCATTTGACTTGAGCAAAAATACCTGAGACTTTTTCGCAAACATGAACGCAAATATACCCGTAGGCCTCGTTACAGCGGCTGTGTTACTCTTTCTGTCATTTGCCCCCGTCGTTTTTCTCTTGAACAAGGCCGGTGTCATTCCAGGACTTAGAGTAGGAGGTTCCTTCGAAAACAAGGTCGAAAAGAGACTCCGAGCTTGGACTGGGGGAGTATAGAGAACAATCTGCTCATCAGCCATAGATTTCCACGCTTCCCTCTCGACAGGTTCGCAACCGATCGATGCACCCTTCTGGTTGGGCTTTGGTAGTGCTTTTGACTGATTAGGACTCGCATTAAACTGTTGAACAGTGACTTCCACCTCCACTTTTTCACAAAATGACGCTGTAACGTTCTCTCCAGTTGCAAACGCAACGACGGATTCGCCTTCCAAAGATGTCGACCGGGCAGATACTGCCTCATGAAGCTCGCAGGTCTCCACTCCCTCATCGCCAGCGCCAGCAACTACCTCTTCGATAACTGCAGGTTCATCATTCTTTATCGAAGGAGAAGCAACGACCTTTTGAGCAGTATCGTCGACCTTTGTTTGGTCAAAAACAGGTGGAGCATGTTCGTCTTCTTCGGCGTCGTGCTGTGCCTTCTTCGAAAACCAGGATGAGTAAAAGCTGTCGATTTGTTCTCCTGAGCGAGCTGATGCACTATTCGAGTACTCTTTGATGCTGCGTCGTTGAGATCTTGGCAAATTCCATTGCCCTAGTCGTTCTTGTTGCTCCTCTTCAGCTCTTTGAAGATCTTTGTCTTCCTGAAAGTTCTTTCTGATTTTTAGTTCACCTTCTTTCTCGTCATCGCCATCCTCGCTATTCATCTGATCTTCAATAAGACCCGCCACATCATCGACATCCCGCAAGGGAGTCGACGATGACGACGACAACGTTGGGCTGTCATCTTCGACTTCTGGCAATGGAAAAGAAGCACTTGGCGATGACACCAAGCTCGGCTCACTTTCAAGCGAAGTGCTGCTCGACATGGGAGAATCATCGGCTGATACTTCTAGACCGGCGTCAGCCTTCGTGAAAGGCAACTTGAGAGAAAAGCCTCGCATCTGATTACGACTCGCTTTTGACTTTCTCTTCCTTTGTTTTTTCTTAGACGTAGATGGGGAGGTGGCAACGGAGTAATCCAAAACTTCCACACAAAGGAAGTACGGCACTCGCTCCTTTGTAGAGAATGTAAAGCACTCTTCGGCCCAAATGCGCTTGACACGATGATATGGATTACCTATTGGCAAGTAAATCACGTCGGAGGGCAGCATTTGCATATCAATATAACGTAACCTTTTGCGCAGTTCCCTGTTTCTCTGAGAACGCGGTATGGGGATGAGCTGTTCTGCCAAGTTTGTAAGAGCTTCCACAAACGTTGGCGTTTGCTTGAATAGCAAGATCTGGTGTGCATTTCCTTCATCTGTCCTCGCTTCATCCTGCATGGAATTTCGTCTGCAAAGCAAATGTCCTGCAAAGGATTTATCACTTTCCAACATTGTAAATTCCTGTTCATCATCGGTAGGAAAAATCATCCACCGTCTTTGCTCTAAATTGTCAGGTCTTGTAGCCGATACTTCCTCCACACAAAGTCCACTGTTCATCAACAGTGCCGGCACGCCTGCTCGTCTTCCAAGAGCTTTAATAAAATCACAATTCTCCTGACCCTGTTGTGCTGTGACACTCAAAGACTCGGAACGATAGCCTCTGGCATTGTCACAGAACGATCTCAAAAACCACGTCAATCGATGTGCAAATGGTAATGACTCGCCACTTCTTGACATGAGAAAGCACTCGAGTTGATGTTGTTTGGCATAATTGCCATGCATAAGAAACGTGCATAGTTGTGGAATATAAAACACAAATTCAGCAGCATTCTTGTCATAACTGCTGTAAAGTTCTTCCAACACATCTTGATGAGCATAAAGTCTCAGTAGTAAATGAAACACATCCTCCTGTGCCTCCTCATTCTTCAATTTGTTTCCAGCAAGTCGATCCATTGTCATGCGTAGTTTTTCATTCCAAAAAGTACGAAATTTTTCCACTTGCTCTGATTCTTCTTGTTGTTGGAGTAAAAGTTCCAGCTCTCGAGGTGTCGATGTAGTTGATGATGATGATCTTGTCGTGTCTGTAGTACTCGATCGATCCTTTGTTTTCCCAAGAGGTTGTGACGTCTTTAAACCGCGACGTAAGACGGAATCACGGACTTTTAAGGGCAAATCAATCAAGGAAAAACGACGACTTGGTTCGGAACAAGTCGAACTTCGCCAATCCGTTTCGTCCATTTCCCACGCTTTTTCACTTTCATCACTACTTTCTTCATGAAGAGAAAGAGATTCAAGTGATGGAATGTTTGTATTGGAGGAGGAGGAGGACAAGGAGATCGACGTCTTCATTTGAGATGAAGAAGAAGAATTGACTTTTGACTATATAGACAGTAGTATATGAATAAATGTATGTATAGACAGTATTATATATCGATGGAGGCAGTACTTATGTCGAAAGAGACCTGGATTGTTTATGCAAGTGAAGACCGCCTGTCTACGCTCTCCGTTTTTACGTGTTAAAAAACGTAAAAACTTCCTGGTTCGGGCGAAATGTAACCGTGAAGTAACACCATTTACTGTACGACTGGTACTTACGAGTTGCTACGTACTTACTTGTCCTTCTTGGTGCAAATAAAAACGACTGAACAATGGGTCGTTTCTCAACGGCTGAACATAAAGGTTTGAGGTTAATGGATGGGGTGGAACACTTTTTTCGATCTATCTTATTATGAAATACAGCTTTTAAATGGCTTGATCAATTGAAAAAAAAGACAAGTTTATTGCTGCAACAAATGATGCAAAAGTGAAGAATTCTGGTCGAACAGCCCACGAGTAGTGCACATCTCTCTCTGGTCTTCGAAACCAGATACCATAACCATTCCGTACAAATTTTCTAGTGTCATAAAGGTACCGAGACTTTCTTTGTCAGTGTAGTACCGCTAGGGATTTCGAGCCAGTGCCAACGACATTGTCGTGGTATCTTCCGGCTTTCCATTGTTTTCGATCAAGTAAAAAAGCACATAAAGCTGCGAAAAAAAAAAGTGGATCGGTCAGAATCACCTCTCTCTTGTTCTTTCATCGTAAAAACCGATCTTAAAGACGTGCATTAGAATGAATCACAATTGACAATGTAGACCCTCACGAACAGCATGCAAGAGAAACTTGTCGCAGCAGTAGGTTCCATTACTTTTGAAATCGTTCAAGGGCGCTACTATCGCTTTTGACAGTTACAATGTCCGGGTGTTGAATTTCAACCAACCCGATCCGTTCCTTTATCTCACTGGTGGTCGCATCCCCCATCCCTTTCACCGATCCCTTCGTTTCAGTGACATCGAGTGACTACTTCCTTCAACCTCCACGTGGCAACCATCATTCTTGCCTTGAACATCCGACCTCCATTCCATCATTCTTGTTTTTCTTCTTCTAGCATGGATTCGGTCCAAAATGGTTGTTACTTTGTTCTTCTGTCGCTCTTATTCGCATCAAACTTCATCTTGATTCCCGTGTCGCTCCAACTCATTTTATCGGCTTCGTGTATTGTCTACATTGGGTCAACATTATCACTGACATTGAAACACACACGTGTAGCAAGTGGTGCGAAGAATGACGAAGTCATGAAAGCGGAAGATGCCTATTTATTTCCCGTATTAGGGTCAGGGGTTCTACTTGGGCTCTATACTCTCTTCAAGTTCTTTGATAAAGACATGGTGAATCTCTTATTAACGGCTTATTTTGCATTGGTGGGAGCTTATAGTCTTACGGAAGCTTTTAGTCCATTGGTGTTAACTTGTTTGTTTCAAGGCAAGTCAAAGCGATACAATCGTTCGATTCACGTGCCATTCTATGGGATCTACAAGCTGGAATTGTCTCAAGCTTGGATGTTTACATTTGCATTTGCTGCAATTGTGGCTGCTCTCTGGTTTCAGACAAAACACTACATTCTCAACAATATCTTTGGCATTTCCTTGTCAATTAAAGGCATTGAATCGCTCTCACTTGGGAGTTTTAAAGTCGGTGCTATTCTACTTGGTGGACTCTTTTTTTACGATATTTTCTGGGTCTTTGGCACGGATGTAATGGTCACGGTTGCTATGTCATTTGATGCACCTATTAAGCTCATTTTTCCACGCGAATTTGCAACGGAATTAGAGAAACAAAAGAATTCGATCTTGGGACTAGGTGACATTGTCATTCCTGGCATTTTTGTGGCACTGTTACTTCGATACGATGCCCATCGTGCTAATGTAACTAGCAGTCAGCAATCGTTTCCCAAGCCGTTTTTCCACGTGAATTTGCTGTTCTACGTTCTAGGTCTTGTTACTACAGTGACGGTCATGTTCATCTTTGACGCTGCACAGCCAGCGCTACTGTACCTGGTGCCGGCGTGTCTGGGCTCGGCACTAGTTACTGCGTTCGTCCGGGGTGAGTTCAAGGAGCTGCTGGAGTACTCGGAAGAGGACGAAGAAGAGGAAGATAGCAGCGAGAAGAATGACGACGACAAGGACGATGATAAGGACGATGACGACAAGGAGACTAAGAAGTCCAAGTAGACGACGGCATTATTGAGTCAAGCCGACTGAGGTAGAGCTTCCATAATTGATCTTTTTACATTTTGGCTAGCTATTTGATGCGTGGCATTCAAGACGTGTTTGGTAAAAATAGGTCTACGTAGCAGTAACGAATCCTCGCCGTTTATGGTCATTCACTGTTCGCATCTATGACTTCGTCTATTGCAAGTGTTAGATGTATGCTATCAAAATACGTCTGTACCGAGCTCATCAAGCTGCTGTGCTCTTCTTCTCTCTCGAGTCACACGAACGTTACCAACTTGATCGACTGGCAGATACACTTCTTTCTACGTCATTGATCCATGCACAATGCAATTTCTTTATCAAGTCGTGATCACAATCTGGCCTTGTGAACTTGCTAAAACTACATTGAAACGTAGTTGCAATCCAAAGGCATTCGAAGTTGCTCGAGTGGCACCAAAATAGGTGGTAGATCATCTGAGAACGAGTGGCAACTCGTCTTGGGCGGAAAAAGATTGTCTGATAGAGACATTTCAATCACCTCTTGTTTCGTGAGTGAATCGCGACCACATTTTGGCCAGACATCCACTGTGATCGTTTCGTCCTCCAGGTAGTCCACCAATACAACCGGCACGCACTGCAATTCCAGCTGAATACCTACATTGTAACGGTGATGACCATCTAAGATGGCACCTGTAGCTCTGTCTACAAGCAGTGGCTCCAGGTAAGCATCCCAGCGAACAGTGGCGCGACGCAGACCTTCGACGCGGTCCCAGCTCACGACGTGTTCGTGTGCTTTCAGCCAGTGAAGTGATGCGAGATGCACAACCAATTTCTTTGGTTGTCGTTGTGGGCGAGCATCAAAGTGATACTTGTAGAAGTACGATGTTGGATCGGTAATACGTGTCAAGAAGAACTTTTGACGACGTTCTGTATCGTCCGACAAAAGGTCTTCCAGTGTCGCAGCCTTCTGTCTGCAAAAACTCGACGTGGGGTCATTCTCACGAATGGCGTGAAAGAAATTCTTTGTGTCGTAGGATGGCCGGCTGATCAAGTCCATCTGCGTTGAGTCACGAACACGATCATGGGAGCGCAGTCGACCACGAAATAGGCTCTTGGTCATTGACGTAGCCAAGTTCTGGGCTCCACAAATCAGACGAATGGATATTTGCTGTAAACTAGGCCTGCGCACTAGTAATGGAGGTGTTCTCGCTTGCATACTTGTGTGAGACACCGACGATGATGCCACTTGCTTTGCCACTTCCTCGATAGGAAGTGGTGGCTGGCGCAGCACTGATAACGGGATTGAAATAGGAGGTAGACTCTCCGTGAACCGGTGACGACTCGTCTTTGGCGGAAACACATCCGGCGATAGAGCCATTGCGATCACGTCTTCTTTCGTAAGCTGCGATCGTCCGCAACCTGGCCAAACATCCACATGAATTGTTTGGTCTCCCAAGTAGTCCACCAAGACAGCAGGCACCTGTTTAAGACGCAACTGCAGTGCCACATTGTAGCGATGATGACCGTCCAAGATGGCACCAGTCTTGATATCTACCAGCAAGGGCTTCGTGTAAGCATCCCACGACAGCGTCGCCGTCTTCAATGCATTTACTCGTTCCCAACTCACAATTTGCTCATGAGGCTTTAGCCACTGTATGTCCACGAGGTGCACTTCTGCTTTCCGAGGAGCCAAATGACGATGATGGTCATAATGAAAGCGGTAAAAGTACGACGTCGGGTCGGTCACACGGGAGACAAAAAAATCTTTGACTGCCGACTGGTCCTCGTCGAGTGCAACTTGTTGACTTGAACTTGATGATCCAAGCAGTACGGAATCGTCCTGCGTCTTGGGCAGCCACAGATGTTTCCTTGTCTTTTTCGAGTTGCGAATCTCATGATCAAGACTCGATTGCGCGTCTCCGCAGACTTTCTCGGCATCTGCAAGACGAAAAGGTGCCACATTACGTAGCACATCCTCGGCCACGTCTTTGCCCTTCAGATAAAGCCGCATGGACACTTGACGCAGCAAATGATGCTTGCGATGGTGTACAAGAGACGACGTCATTGTCGTGGCTTCCACAGGTTTGTCCGGGTGATCTTCATGCGTCGATTGCCGAACCACTGACACGTTCGAGTCCGTCATGTCCATAGCAAGTGACGTGTTCCTAGCCTTTATATGTAACAGCACGTCCTCCCCAGACTCTTGCAATTCCTTGACTGTACACTTTACGTTCGACTTGATTGCTTCCTGTCTGCAGGACAAGAAAGTGTCAGTTCGAGACCGTTCTTTTTTCAAACAAAATGATTCTCCTCAAGGGTGCTATCGCCTCAATGGGATTGTGTACCCGAAGTTGGGGGTCATTGTAGCATCAAGTGTGGTAATATAGAGATGATTGAAAGGAGCCGTTACAGGGTTTAGTGGAGACCTTGAATTTGTATATGAAGATGAAAGGAGTTTAACGGATACCTTCCTCCATATGAGTGGAGCGAGCGAAACAAGTTCATAATCAGATACACGCTCAACAATCGAGACTCGTTAGCGTATCAAGTATTCCAGGCTATAGCATCATTGTGTTTACTGAAAAGTAGAGAGCAGGTGATCATCTTGACGAAAGTTATTTAGTTGCTGGGAGAACTAAGGCACAAGTCACGGGATGAGAATGCCGGTCGATACCTTTTACACGACCCTAAAGGCTCGAGTGCAAACGGTCTGATGCTTTTGTTGAACTCTGTAAAACCGTTTGCAATCTGTCGGATCCCTGCAAACGGATTACAGATAATGTTCATGATCCATTCCATCGCGTCAACAACCATCTGCCCAAACATTGCTGACGGTGTCAGCCGTGAAGTCGACAACGTACCGTTAACAATAACTTGATCTTCTCCGACAGCCGCAGCTTATAAAACATCATCTGCATCTGCTGTTGCTCCAATACGAAGTCATTCGATAGAGGATATTTGGGATGGCGTAGTAGAAAGCTCACATGGCTGCATCAACGGCTATTTGCCATCAGCTCCTCATTAGTGAGATGTTCCTGCTCCTTGCCAGAAATCGACAATGACAGAACAAATGTAGTAGATATCTTTCATGCTTGGTTGATTGTACTGCCATTCGAAGGGTTTCAAGACGCTTTGCGCTGTACAGATGCACGCAAAGAGGACAAGATGGAGAGTAGAGTGTCACATGTAGTCGAAGAAAACAAGTTACGTGTGACAGAATGCAACAATCTGATCGCAAGTCACACGGGTCAATATGACAGTATCCAAATCGGTTCACTGCACCGATTTCGAGCCCAATACATCCGATTGAAAGCCTTTATAAGCCCTATATTCTGCCTCACTAGTAGCAAGCTACTCGTTAGAAACACTGCCTTTGTATTTATCTCTGCACGCGAACTCAAACTTAAGACCAGGCTAGTCTAGGTTATGAACACCTCCATCTAACATCTATGTCATCTGAAGTCGGTCTTAAGATGGTGTTGCTAAGATGTATGCAACAGGATCAGATAAAGTCTGTTCCTTCCTTGTGCCTTTGAATCCATGCCATCAAATTCTAATCGGTGCACGTAAACGATACCATGGACGACCAATGCTTAGGAGATCCCATAGCTATTAAGACATGATGTCTCGATAGCACAATGTGAGAACCGTTCAAGTATGTAGTGGCTAGATCACTTGAATATTTCATGCATCTAGATTGTCATTCTCATAGTCAAGTGTTTCGAATTCAACTTCTTTATCGATCTCTTGGGTACATACATGCATCTACGACTTTGGTAGAAATCTTGAATAGATCGATTCCTGTCTGCATCACGTGTGCCTTTCTTCCCTATCATTGGAGCGAGGCACACGTACATCTCAGTAAACACGAGTAAAACTGCAAGATTTGCAGTAAGCAAGTCAAATCAGCAATGTCTACGGTAACTTTCACGAGGCTACAGACCAGCCATTCGTTTGTAGTGCCCCTTACGGCGAAACAGTGAAGCTATTCATCTTTACATGGACGTATTGGAAACATGTACATCCTTTTAACCGTTAGCATTCATTTGCAATATTACTTCCAACTGCCATATCTCTCCTACTGCAAGTCATGGTTCAAACAGGACATGATGTTAGCGTAGCTTTTGCACTCAACATTGCTGCTGGAGCTGCTACAATTTTAGGTGGTATGGTTGTCTTGAATAAACGTCTTGTATACTTGGCCAGTCCAGTAAGTCTAGCAGTTGCACTCAGTGTTTCGTCGGGTGTCATGATGTTCATTTCGTTGGTCGAGATTTTTGGTCATGCCGTGCAATTGCTCACGAAAGGCATTCAAACCGAAGACATAACGAAAGAGACGGCCACGGGTCATGGTTGGCTTGCAGCTACAGGTTGTTTTGGTATTGGGATCCTGCTCATCTATGTCATTGACATGATCGTCCACAAAATCTCACCTGAACACGAAATGACGGAACTTGAAAACCTGGAAAGTATCCGTGAATCAATGCAATACTTTGAAAGCACGAGCAGAAAAAACCAGGTATCAGTACCTTGTATGGAAGCTGCTACGTCTGTGCAGGTGGAGCCAAACCCTCAGTTTTTCAAAATGGACGAGGACGCTAAGCGTGCATTGCAACGCATGGGTGTATTGAGCGCCCTTGCTATTGGTATTCACAATTTGCCGGAAGGTATTGCCACGTATGTCGGAGCGCTCCAGAACTCATCGGTTGGGTTCTCTCTTGCCATTGGTATCGGCTTGCACAATATCCCCGAAGGGGTCGCTGTTGCTGCTCCCATTTACTTTGCTACTGGTTCACGCCGGCGAGGAATCATGTGGTGCGCGATTTCTGCTGCTGCTGAGCCACTCGGTGGAGTTATTGCATGGTTGGCCATTGGTGATGGCATGGACCCACTCTCGGAGGGAATCCTATTTGGAATCGTGTGTGGCATTATGGTCTGCATCTGCGTGAAAGAGCTGATCCCTACGGCGTACAAGTTTGCCAAGGAAAAGACCTATGTTGTTGCTTATGGCACATTTGCTGGCATGTTTATTATGGTGTCCAGCCTCACGCTTTTTGGCTACGCCGGTGTATGAAGGAAGACAAGCATTAGTTTCTTCCAAACACATTGGCATCTCAATTGCCATCAGAGTGAGTCTTGCGCGTAAACGTCGACTTTGCATTTCAATGTATCCGTTGCTCCACACTCGTAGTGCTATCACCGTTTCTTGTGGTTTGTTATCCATAATGTCTTCGAATGTGAGAAGTGTTTACAACTTCATCAAAGCTTTTTGAAGACGTGGCTGGCGTAATGACATATATCCGACTAGCACTTTGAGTAAATCTGCATGGAGTACTTGAAAGTGTCTTTGCTTGGATAAGGATGCCACCCTTATAAGCGGAGCAGGATCAAAATTAGGTATGAAGATCCGGAAGCATGTGCCGATAGTGAATGATGAAATCCCGCTTTACAGAATTTTTTTGAGTTTCACTTGCTTCTTGTGCTGCTTTCATGTCATTCCGATGCCCCAACTTAACTCTTTTCTTGTTTTTTGTTCTGGTGTCTGCAATGTGGCTTCGACTTTCTTACGCAGAGGATTGAATCCTAGCCGGAGAAGTGAAGCGATATTTTCTTATTGCCATATAGCATTGACAATGATATCCAGTGTTCCACGCGGCAATTGTCGTTCTTCATAACATCAAACACATCGTCTACGTACACGACCACAAATGTTAGAGCTCCTACAACTGTGCTCTATGCAATTGCTTGATACTCGTCCGGTGCTGTCACAAAGGGAAGGAGAATGCTTTTACAAAAAAACATCTAACCTTTCCACTCTCTCGCAAAATAACCCATAACGACGGCTGTACTGCTAAGCTTGTCCGAGCATCTGAGGATGGCATGCGACGCAAGTACAGGCTACTAGAAGATGACCCCCAATCCATAGCATTGATTGTCCTTTCACTTCAAACTCCAGATTCAGCTATACACACTTTATTGCACTTCATTACCTTCGTAGTCTGCTAGTCTTCCTTTCTTACAAAAGCGGAGTCGTTTCGGAAACGACCTTGATCTCGAAAGGAGCATGCAGCTGAGGCCGGCCGGAAGCCCTAATGGTATTAGCAGTTGTAGATTCAGCAGCCTGTTTCGAGCGACGGCTTTTTACGCGACGACGAGCTCGATCTGCAAGAAGGCGTAAGCGTTTTTTTATAAAAGCCGATCCTGTGCCCGTGGTGACCTTGCGATAACGAGCCTGCCCGTATTTCACAATGTCGTGCACGTAGACATCGCTCTCGTCCTCAATTTCTTCCTGGATGAGTTCCTCAATCACGTCTTCAATGGTCACAATGCCGTCAAACACGACACTCTCCGGAATCTCTTCATTTAAACGCCAACACCTCAACACAAGATCCACATCTGCAGTGACCAGCGCAATATGCGAGTGACCTTTCTGAAACTCGTTCAATATCGAGTAGCACGATTCTTCTGGACTCACTAGAATAGGTTTGCGTAGCATCAAATCCCGAATCGGGCGACGGTCATCTGGGTCCAAGACAATGAGTTTCTTCACAAGCAATAGACCAACAATATTGGACCTATGTTTTTCAAACACTGGAATCCGACTATGACCTGAAGCCAAGATACTTGCCAACATATTTGGAGAGAGTTCCATATCCAATTCCAGCATGTAAACATCTTCCATGGGAATCATCACTTCCGTCACAGTCTTGGAAGCTAAATCCAGAGCACCATGAATAATTGTTACTTCATCGACATTCAAACGTGTCCCAAAAGCAGAATCTTCATACAATGAATGAGGTGTTAATAATGCTTGTTTCTCACTCATTGCCGACATGGTCGTATGTAATTGGGTCGAATTATGACGCATTTGATCAATTAAAGTCCGTCGAGCAACATCATTTCCACGTTGTAACGTCACCAGAGCTTTAATTTCTTTGCGTTTGTATTGAGCTGGATCATGATCAGTACCAAGCCAACAATCCAATAATCGACTAATTGGGTACGATATGGGACATGTCATTGCCATTAAAAGTTTAACAAATGGGCACAACATGGCAGCAATGCGTAATTGATTTGGACCGGTAAATACCGCCGAAGGAATAATTTCACCAAAAAATAAGACACATGTCACAGAAAGGACAATCGAAGCAGCTTCTGGGACCAATTTGTTGAGAAAAATGGGTAATGCTTCATTTGCACTTGCATTTACAACCAATAACGTCACGAGAAGAAAATGGTGTTGGGTCAATACCGGTAATACCTCTTTGGCATACTTTTTTTCGTCGTCGGACCCTTCCATTTCAAGAATACGCATATTAAGCATGTCCAGAGACAAGAGTCCCATTGTTAAACCCGCCATCATTCCCGCAGCACAAATTAATACCAACGACATGGCCAAGTACAGAAAAAAAGACATGGGATCACACCATGGTGTAAAGAAGTCACACTCGTGCGTGGTGACTGTAAACGTCGTTGCAATCATGTGTGTCAATGAATTTATACCAAGTGTTCAGTTCTGACCTATAGACGTAATAATGAGTGGCGTAGGTATTATATATTTAGACCCATAAAACTGATTTGTCAAAAGGTGCCCTATTATGTATGGAGTCTTTTATGGGTAAACATATGTAACAGTACTCCAATAGTGCCCAAATAAAGTCCCCCAATTTGTTTTACCCTAAAATAGGGACGGCGTCCTTGTCGTACTTTTTAACAGCACGAGTCTTCGAAGTTGTGCCTTTTTCACTTGATGATGCTGCAATGTCCGCTGATTGACAAGAGACATACACGTCCAAGTATCAAGTAAGGACAACAAATCACGTCATGACTTCGTAAACATTTCAATTTCAATCGTACCTATTTCAAGCATTGTAGCAGGAGCCTCGGGCATTGCAATTGCAATGGCATCAGCTTCTAGTTTCTCAATCTCAGCAAGCTCACTGAGCACGGCGTCTTCGTCCTCGACAGTCAAACTGCCACCTATAATCCTGCTAATTTCCTATTATCACACATACACGTGTATAGTAACGTGAGATGCAAAGACACACCGGATAAAACAAAGTACAAACGTGCTGCAACAATTCAAGGCATCGTACATTTGCCGTCGCCTGCGCTTCTTCTGTCTCAAGCATCAGTTCTTCGACTGCCTCCACTGTCATTTCCTGCATCAATTATCACAAACCAAGTATTACATTGTTTATAATCCTCTGTCTTTCACCTTCATGGATTCAAACCTTTGACACTTCAAGGGTGCATATTACCTTGTGAATGGCATTCAAGATCGAATTTCCAGCCTTTAATCCTTCAAACACTTGCAATTGCTGTGTCTCCCATTCCATTGTATCCAACATTCCCAATACTTGAATCAAATGTTCATCCGCCTGATGCATTTGTTGTTCCTTGTATTTCTTTAGCTTTAACGCAAGTTTTGCACGGTCCTACAATATCACCCAAAAAAGTGTCACTTTTACCGAAAACACACACAACTTTTTGTTCTTGACCCAAAAGCAACAATTATTGTACCCTTTTTCCAGCCTGTAGCAACTTTTTAGCACTCTCATAAAGCTGATTTGCTTCGATATCGAGTCGTGTCTGATACTTCTTGAGTCGATCACGTGCGTTTTTTAGATCAAGGGTCGCCTTGTCTTTGGATGTGATCTGTGCACGAATACCATTCCCTTTAGCTCCATTACCAGCACGATTATTGGTCGAGGACGATGACTGTTTCTTCTTCGAGTTCAAGCTGCCCATGTCGTCGTCAGCACGTAAAATACGTGTTTTGATTGATAGAAATGCATATTTACTGGGTTTTCATTGGATAAAACGCATGCAAAAGCGATAAAATGGGACCACATATGTCACTCAATTTTTACTTATAGACGACTGATCTTCTTTGATGCCAAAGCGATAGCAACTTTTGAGTGAGTGGAACGTCCAAGCACATTTGTAATGAATTCACCTGCAGTAATCACTTTTAAAAGATCCACGCCAGTTTTAATCCCGAGACCATGTAACATGTACAAAACATCTTCCGTTGCGACATTCCCCGAAGCTCCATTGGCATACGGACAGCCACCAAGACCTGCGACAGAGCTGTCCACGACAGCAATTCCTTCCTACAAAACGAGTATATAATTGCATAAGCTGACTTGGTAAAGTATGAGGTGGTGAATGTGCTACAATGTTTGTTTTGTACCTGCAGTGCGACGAGGATGTTGGCCAGCGCTTGTCCGTACGTATCGTGGAAATGCACGGCAAGATTCTCCACTGGAACCACCTGCTTCACGGCTTGCAGCATAGCGAGAGTTGATGCTAGACAAGAGTGACAAAAATGAGCAAGTGAATATCCATGAAGCTATAAGAGACTGCTGCAGTCGTACCAGGATTCCCAATACCAATGGTATCACTCAATGACACTTCATAGCAACCCATTTCAAGCATCTTTAGAGCAACATCAGCAACTGCAGATGGTTCAACAGATCCTTGATACGGACACCCTACAACACATGATACATAGCTACATATTCATGACCACATGTGAACAACAATCACTGCAATATCATTTCACCAATACCAAATTGTTACGTACCCTCGAACACGAATGCCAAGTCCGTCCGCCTTTTCACACACGGGTTGAAAACGCTCTAAGCTTTCTTGAATTGAACAATTAATATTCTTGTGACTAAAAGCCTCGGAAGCGGCACCAAAGATTGCTACTTCGTTTGCTCCTGCTTCCACAGCATGATCAAACCCCTGCACCACCTATGTGTCAATAATACGTACTCAAAAAAAAGGTAACTACTTTCAAAACACGTACGTACTTTCAGATTCGGTGTCAAAACAGGGTACACTACACCACGTTTGCGTAAAATCCCCTTTAAAACCTCCCGATTGTCAGCCATCTGTTTTTCAATTCATCACGTCATCATTACACGTCCCCTTATGCTGCAACATCCATTACCTGCCTCTTCCTCACCTGCGGAACCCATTTAGGAGATACAAAGGACGTCGTTTCAATAGCCACTAATCCCGTCTCAGATAACAGATTAATAAACGTCACTTTATCGTTGGTCGATACGAACGTCTTTTCATTCTGTAACCCATCACGGGGTCCAACTTCCACAATCCGCACAAAAGGTGGGTACGTCACCGCTGTCGTTGCCCTCGACAGGAACTTCTTACCCACCGTCGTCATCATCCGCGACGTCATCAATGGCCGGTAATAAAAAAGTGACGACGTCACGTCCCTTATTATTTCCCCTATCCCTTATCGTACTTTTACCCAATCAAAATGCACATGTCATATAATACCCAAAATTGGGGTATTAAATTGGGCATCGACGCTCTTCGCCAGTCATTTTTTTCGTCATTGACATTTAATTGGCCTTCTTGACACGACACAATTCAAGAGCCATGGCAAGTACATTGGCCAAGCAATTGCAACACCTTCGAGAGACTGGTGCTGGGAGTAAACGTCGTACGGACACATTTCTCTATGATCAACGAGAAGCATCACGTTTTGATAATGAAACCATTTATAATTTAGCATGGAATGGATTGCTCGAACTAAAACAATTGGATGGTCAATTTCAAGCACTGGATAATGACGTTGCCGTGTCAAAACTCTTTAGTCGGGAACGGATTCACTTTCATCGGACACAGAGCTTGAAAAAGGATGAGATTGAGCTCAATGCAGCACTAAACAAGGTCCTGGATGCACTCAGTGCGTACTTTTTACTTGATGCGACCCACAAAGTCCTCGAATTTCTCGTGCGTCGGTATGAGATTCATCGGTATAATATTGACGCTATTATGGCCATGATCATGGCGTACCATGAATCGGGATGGTTTGTACGGATGGTTCGCATTTTGCACATTCATGACACGCGATGGGAATTTCTATTACCAGTCAAGACTCAAGGCACGCCATTGCTTCGAGCAGCACTTGTTCAACGTGTGATTGACGAGTTTTCAGTGATTGAATTTGTATTTGATTCAGCCACGAGAATTGGAGCTCGGAATTCAAAGCTCACGTCATTGTACACACTCATTGTGCTTCAGGTTCTAGAGCAAAGCAAAGTGACAGAGCAGAGACTAAGGTGGCTCGTTCCACAGCTGTTGACAGCACTCCAAAGTACTAAATTTCCAGAATTGCAATCTTCAGCTTATATGATTGTGACGAAACTGGCGTCCAAAGCGACGTTGACGGTGAAAGTAGTGGATGCATTGGTCAAAGCGCTAGTGAAATTTGCACAGTCAGGTGCTCAGATGAACGCATTGTTGTGTGTGATTTTTTTAGCACAGACGCAGCCGTCGTTTCGGTTATCGATTACAACAGGAAAATACTTGGTACATATGGAGAACGCGGCCGATTTCTTGCGTGACGCGACGATGAATTATGAATCGGCCAAGTTTGTGCAAATACTGACAGTCTTTTTGACACAAAACATGGAGTCTACAGACGACGACCATTTCCGTTTATTGACGTCACTGATTGAGAACGTCTCGGTGGTTGATGAATTTACAGACGAGCTGGTCAAGACGATGGTAACACAGGCTCAAGAAGAGGCATTTGCAATGGATAATGCGCGCGTACAGGCGATTTCACAGGGTCTCGTTGCTCTTAGTAAAAAGAATGCGGCACAGGTGGACGTCGTGATTAGCAGTTTGCTGTCAAAGCAGACGAAGAAGTCGAAGCAAGACAAGAAATTGAACCAATTCTTAACAAAAACTTTTGAGAACGTGGCTAATTCGGCGCACTTTGTGCCATCGAACACCGACGCGAACACATCACTAGCCCTCGCCCTGGATCACCCGACTGAACACATCCGATACCAGGCTTTAGAATTATTAGCAAAGATGAATGATGCGAACGCAGAAATGGCGACGAAAGACAAGGTTCGGGTACTTACAAGCGGTGATGTGCTTCTGCGTCGGATGCTAGACGATAGCAAGCGTATTGCAAACTTCATGGTTTCGACATCTCTCGGCGATTTAATGCTAAGTTTGAGCGCCAAGAAAAAAGTGCTTGAAGCGCTTGTCCAGACAGTGCGCAAGTGGGTTTGCCGTGGAGAGGCTTCCATCGTTGAGGCTGTTGTTGGTTTCATACTGAACAGCTTTCGCAAGACGGCTGCATCCATAGACACTGACGAGAAATTGCTGACTTTGTTTGTTTCGCTGGTGCATACGAAAGACGTTGTTTCTGTGGATACAGTTTGGGCTTGGATAGCTACGCTTGATCACCCGTTTGGTATGAGCGCTTCTAAATCATCGAACAAAAAAAGCAAGACTGCCACCGATTTGGCCGAAACTTTTGGGTGTGCTCTTTCTGCTGACGTTCCGGGATTACTGCCGTATTGCCTGCGTTGGTCTCAGACGTCGGAATGTAATGATGATCCTCTTACGGGTTTTCTAATCGATGTTTTGTCTACGGCCAGTGCTCTGCAAGCGGCGAAGAAGTCGAAGTCAAAAAAGGCAAAGACGCATTTGGTTTCATTGAATCAATCCTATCGATTAATTCTTAAGAAGGAATTTGTGTCGCTGTGTGACGATGGCGTGTATAAAGAAGAACTTACGCGCACCATACGCGTTGCGTCAAAGTTGGCTGAGGCTGCATACGCCATGTTTGCTGAATCCCGTGACGATTTTGATGCTTGCGTCGCTACTTTGCTGCATTCTCCGACCCCCGTATTTATTCGCATTCAAGAGTGCCTGCTCGAGTTATTTCACGGCGACCTAGCGAATCAACTGTTGCCAACAATGGCTCGAATTGTGACAAAGCCTGCTTCCGCGAATGATTTTTTGAGAGTCCTGGCTAAAACGCGCTCTCTGGATATTATTTCTGCGGTGCTCGAAGGATATTCATATGCCGAGTCGGAAGTGGAGCTGCGGTCTCTAGTCCATGTCGTTCCTGTTGTCATCGTGGCGCTCTCGGACCTCAGCAAGGCAGTGCGTCAATCTGCAGCTACGTGCCTTGACCGCTGGGTTGTATCATGTGGTGACACAGTGCGATCTTCAGAGTCGACAGATTTGAAAGTACTCCAGAAGGCATCATCATTTTTCCTTAATGCTAAGGAGGACATATTGATGGATGCCAATTCAGTAATAGCGCTTTGTGGCTCGTTCAGTGCTCAAGAAGAAAGCTCATTGTTTCACCAGCTGCTGATGAACTTTGTGTCTTCTGCTAGCAGTGACGAAATGTGCATTGCAGTAAAATTTCTCGACCTACTGGCCCCTGTGAAAGAAACTTCGTTCTGGCTGCAATCTGTCGATTTTTTTCAGCAGACTCTTTCTGGGTGTTCAACGTCAGGTGCTGGTGAGTCTACTTTAAAGTTGCTGACGGGGTTCCTCACGCACTACTTGGACCCAAGCGTTGCTATAACAACCACGAAACAAGGAAAGAGTACGATTTCGAAGGAGTTTGCAGTAGCCATGATGGCTGTTTTGCGTGCTGAAAAGGGTCTCCACTCACACTTACAGAAACTGCAGATCTATTTGGCGGCAAACCTTTCAGTAAGTTTCTACGAGGCTCTCGATGATGTGTCTCGCCATATGTTCGTCGATAAGATGCTGCGATTGTTGATGGTTGCAGAGGAAGCTGTTGCTTCGAAGCTGATTCAATGCCTGAACACTTTACCTATCGGCTACAGTATTTTTGAGCGATTGCTGGAGGAACAGATTGCATCTGTAGTAGAGTTTTCCGAACTGAGCTGCATTCTTGAGGTTCTCGCTATCAAGGTCGACAGCGCTTCGAGCTGCGCGGAAGCAGACGTTGATATTAGCAAGCTTCTCGCGACTTTGTGCAACGTGCTAGCTCTGTTTTGTGACTCAAAGCACGAAGGCGTTGTATCGGAGTACATCTTGCAGGTTCTGTTTAGCTGCTTGCGTCGTGTTTGCGACATCAGATCTTCGACTTCCAAGCAAGTTAATGGACGTTTGGCAAAGGGTACAGAGCCCACGAAGACGACATTGAAGCCGCAGCTTCTTGTTAAGCACACGCTTACGTGCTTGGGTCGGACTTCATCCCCTCAGACGCGCAATGAAGGTCTACTCTTTATTAGCTCGCTGGTAAATTTGCATCCGGCAAGTGTGCTTGCATCGCTGGACAAGATTCTGAGCTTCGTCAGTGCTGGCTCCATTCGCCACGAAGATGAGTATTCTTTCCACGTCCTTGAGACAATCATCAAGGCAGTCGTTCCGCACATTGTGGCAGCCAGAAAGCAAGAAGCAGGGGCATTGATGACCCCGCAGCGCTTTATCGGTCTCTTTGTGGATGCTTTTGACCAGATTCCCAAGAGCAAGCGTGATGTTCTGTTCCAGGTTGTGGTTGGATTTTTGGGAAAGGAACTTCTGCCGTATTGTGCCGTGGCGCTACTGCAGCACGCTGCTCTTGTGAATGATATGGACAACCAACGCGAGCGCATTCAATTCGCACACAACCTTTGCTTCAAGTTCGAGTGCTCGGAACAAGTGTCATCGCTTGTAATGATTCTCCGTATAACGCGCGATATTTTGCCTCACGTGGTAAAAGAGGCTGATACGGATACAGACGAAATTGACGAGGACGACGATAACGACGATGTGGAGTATGAAAGCTTTGTTTTTGATGATCGGTTGGTGCAATCGAATGCGCTTTCTCGTCGACTAAACTCGATCCTTCTTAAGTTCGTTGCTGCACACTTGCGTGCCCGTGAGTTACACCACAAGATTTTGAGCTACGAAAGTGAACGTGACCAGAGGAACGAAGCGGATAGTGAGGGTGACGTCTTGCAGCACAATTATCTGATGCTCGCGCAACTTGATTTGTTGTACTTCCGCCGAGTTGCTCGAGAACAGTCGTTGCATGACGATGATAGCGGTTTTTGGACGGCCTTGGCTGCAGATTCAATGGACATCCTTGGCGCACTTCAGCAGCTTTTATCGACGCCTGGTTTCGTTGCAGTCATCAGCGAACTGCTTCACCATGACAACAGCTTGGTACGCAAAAAAGCGATGCAGCTTTTCAACGAGCGTCTACAAGAGGAGCGCGATACACTTTCCCCAGGCGAAGCTTTGTTGTTTATCGACATGCTGGATGAGCTGGATACTATTCTCCAGAACCCAGAAGGTGCTGAGAACAGCGTGAACATTCAGACCGCACTACTCAGCGTTGATATTTTGGCACGCAACTTCGCTGCTAATCATACCAAGCGCTTCCAGCAAATTCTTCCTACTGTCGTGAAGTATGTGGACCGAGACGTCGCCAATTCTTCCCCCATGACGCTGCACCTGTTTGGATGTGCGTTTGTGTGCTTGTCCTCAATTGGACGTGCAGTTGGCACGGTTGTTTTCCCGCTCTTGCCAAAGTTTTTCCCTCGGCTATTGAGTGGAATCAAGTATTGTTCGTCAACCAATGGAGTCGGCAGCACGAAGGCGGTGTTGCAGTGTCTGCTAGCAGCATTGGAGGTGTTTACCGACAAGATTTCTCAGTTTTTGGGACCATACCTGTCTTCTGTCATTCGGTCTTTGTTGACGCCTGCACTCCTTTCATCTGCTCCGACAAATGTAGAAGTTCTAATGTCTGTTGATTGCTGCTTTTTGAACCTAAGCAGTCATGTCGAATTGCGGCAGCTTCTTCCAACTCTGTTTGGTGCGTATGAATACGTGCTGGCGCTGGAGAGCGATTCGAGTGTGACTCGATTGTTCTCGGTCGTTGGAACCGTTGTGAACGATTTAGACTCGTCGGCTATTCGGAAACATCTTCCTACGTTTGCACGCTTCTTTGTTACTGCTTTGGATGCTCGTCGTGTGCACGCGTCGAAGCTGCAGGACCTAGATAATGTCGAGGAAGAGGTTCTGGAGTGTCTTGTACAGTTTATCCTGAAGCTTAGCGAGAAGCAGCTGAAGCCGCTGTTTCTGAAGTTGGTGGAGTGGGCGCAGACGCGTGTTGGATCATGTGGCAAAACTGGTGATATCTCGCGTCGAATTTCGTTTTTCAAGCTGGTTGTCAAGCTATCGGAGCGTCTGCGTGGCATCTTCGTCCCGTACTACGCACACGTGCTGGAATTGCTGATGTCATCCCTTACTGAGAGTCGAAAGGTTCTGATGCAGAAGCCACGGCGGTCATCTGACGATAGCGAAAGCGACGATGACCTTTTCGCTAGTGAGAACGAGCCGCTGGCAAAGAAGGCGAAGGGTGTTTTGTCTACAACGGTAGATGTAAAGGCAGCGCGTGAGCATAACGCGCTGCTGCTAACCACGGTGGTGCGCGCTTTGGATGGCTGTTTCGTGCATGACAATGATGGGTTTATCGAGAAGGACCGCTTCGATCTTGTGCTGAACCCGCTTGTTGATGTGCTGGACGTGCTGCAGTACGACGGATCGATGCGTGCGTTCGTGCTAGAGACCGTGGCGCCATGCGTGGCTAACTTGGCGTGGGCGGCCAAGAGTGACTTGCTATGGAAGCCGCTACATTACGCTGTGCTAATGAAATCTCGTGGAGAATCTGCTGCTGTGCGTCTTGCGGCACTGGTGACCGTGGAAAAGTGTTACCAGGTGATTGGTGACGAGTTTTTGGCCATGCTACCCGAGAGCATTCCGTTCCTGGCAGAGCTCATGGAGGACACGAACGACGAGGTGGAAAAGACGTGCCATCGTGTAATCAAACAGATTGAGGACATTTCAGGTGAGTCCTTGGACCAGTACCTCACGACCTAGGCTGCCAAGCACTAGCAATAGATAGGATAGCCACATACATGATGTAGTGAGTCTCTAGCCTCACTCACTTTACGGTTTGCAGCCGTTCTTGCATATCACAATTCGTAACAAGATGTACTTGATGATACGCTTCCATCTCCATATGCGTGGTTGATGCACGAAGTGACGGCATTGGGAAGACATGTGAATTCTTTGGTCTCTCGAGCTAATGGAATGACTGACCATCAGCTCATTCTGATAAGGGACGATGGAAAGCGATGCCCTTCATTTCTCAATCCATTCAAGTCATGGTCTCAATTGGTAGTCGCTCTCCTGTCTATAGTCGTCATGGAATGGTGTCATGTTCTCAACCGTTGGCATCCGAAATTGGTGTCCGCATCTTGCAACAAGGTGGCAATGCTGTGGATGCTGCCATTGCAGTCGCAGCCGCTCTGAATGTCACGGAACCGTGTTCTACGGGTCTTGGAGGTGACTGTTTCCTGCTCTTCTTCAATGCCAAAACAAAGCAAGTTTGCGGTCTCAATGGCAGTGGTCGCACTCCTGCAGCTCTTACAATCGAGCAAGTGCTGCAAGACTTTGGACAAGATGCTACGGAAATTCCTAGTGGTCACGGCCACGCAGTCACGGTTCCAGGGACAGTTGCAGGCTGGATCGATGCTGTTGTAGCTTGGGGAACGCTGAGCATGAAAGAAATTCTGACCCCCGCCATTGAAATGGCACGTGAAGGTTTTCCAGTAAGTCCATTGACTGCAGCAAGTTGGCAACGAAACAAGGCACAATTGCTGCGTGGACCGCATGCAACCGAGTTGCTCAATGCTCAAGGAGAAGCGCCGAAAGCTGGAGAGATTTTCAATAATGATAACCTTGCCAAGTGTTTTGAAGAAGTAGCGGAGAAAGGGAAGACGGCATTCTACGACGATGGACGGATTGCACAAGCGATCGTGGATATGGTACGGGAGAAAGGAGGAGTCATGACAATGGAGGATCTTCGGACTCACCAGTCGACGTTTGTGACGCCAATTAGCACTCAATTCCAAGCTGTCGATGTACACGAGATCCCGCCGAATGGACAGGGGATCACTGCGCTACTAGCGTTAAACATTCTCTCGGAGTTAACGAAAGACGGGAATTTGCCGTCAACGGGTAGTGCCGAGGAGATTCACTTGCAGATTGAAACACTTCGACTTGCCTTTGCAGATGCCAAATGGTTCGTGAGTGACATGACCCACAACACGTCGCTGCCTTGGAAGGACTTGCTGAGTGAAAACTATGCCAAGAAGCGTGCAGCGTTGGTAGATCGCAAGAAAGCTGGAATTGACCCAAAGCACGGAAGTCCAGAGCTCAGTTGTGATACAGTAAGTTTCCAGGTGATTGATGGACAAGGCAATGCCGTGTCGATGGTCAATAGCAACTACGATGTCTTTGGTACGGGGCTTGTGCCTAAGGGCTGTGGCTTTACACTGCAGAACCGCGGATGCAACTTTGAGCTGCATAAAGTGGGGCATCCGAATGTGCTGGCCCCAAGTAAGCGGCCGTACCACACGATCATTCCTGGACTGTCGACTTTCACGGATTCTGGCAAGCTACACTCTAGCTTCTCGGTCATGGGTGGCTATATGCAACCCCAAGGTCATGTTCAGGTGCTAAGTCACATGCTTTTGCACGGAATGAACCCACAAGAAGCTTTAGATGCTCCCCGTTTCAGCATCGACGTCAACCATTCAACGAAGCCAGGTCGACTTGATGGTGGCAGCTCTGTAATGGTTGAAACAGACCTGGGCTTGAATGTCATTGCAGCACTTCGTGAGCAGTTTGGTCACGATGTCCAAGAAGTAAACGGGCTCGAGCGCTCGATATTTGGTCGTGGACAGATCATTCTACGGGATCCAAAGACGGGTGTACTCTGTGCCGGTTCCGATGGACGCGCTGATGGCTGCGCCATTGGCTGGTGAGCGTTAACGCACGGTCAAGATGGGTTTCATGAGAACCAGTCAATTATTTCAGACGATTCAAGACGTCATGTTCATCTGATTTCATATCATCTTCTACTCCAAAACCTACAGGAATCAAAGCCATCGAGCCGTTCGACAGTACATCATATCGAATATGAAGATGTGTCGAGTATTCTTTGCTATGGCCGTGCTAAGTTTGTCACTTGCAGTAAATTCCACCTCATGGGACTATCGTCACCATCAAGCATCAAGACATCGCTATACTATCGAAAGCACCAAGACTGCCATGGATGCAGCATTACAGACCCCTCACCCACATCTCGACATTCGCAGTATCAAGGTGATTCAAAGCAGTGAAAACCAGCCAGTGCATGGTGATACCAGAGTACGAGCAGATGTGGTTGGTTTTGAAAAGGACGTGGAGGCTTTTGCTGCTGCTGGGCCATTGCAGTCGATCACTAGTATCCACGTTGGTAATCATGTCCAAGGCAAAATCTCCACGACGTTGTCACCGATGAAGGTTCTCAAACATGAAGGGTATAGTGAAAACCAAGTGATTGCAAAGGATCGAGGCGAGGTCTTGGCTTGTATGGAAGGCACGGAGGGCTATTTGGATGACTTGAAAGGGAAGACGGGCAAGGAGTCAATGCTGTACACAAAGAACCCATTCTTTGACTGTTTTCGACCGTCACATGAGGTTTTTGACTTCTTGGACACGATGACGGAACAGAATCCTGACTTCATGACCAAGTACGAAAATGTGTCGATCACGTACGAAGGACGAGCGATTCCGGCTTTCAAGATTTCTACCACGGCAAAACGAGAAGAAGTGATGGCTATGCCCAAAAAGACGCTGTATACACAAGCACTCATTCATGCTCGAGAATGGCAGGCAGGAGCTGCAACTTTCTACACGATGGCGTCGATGCTGGATGAGTTACGAGCTGGAGACAAAGCTGCTATCAATCTCTTTGACAGCTTTGACTGGTATTTCGTACCGATCGTGAATATTGATGGATATCAGTATACGTGGAAAGTCAATAGGATGTGGCGCACGAATCGACACTTGGTGCATTTGAATGGTCAGGAGGTTGGCGTGGATCTTAATCGGAACTGGCCACCCGAGGAATATTTCAACCTTGATCCGAGCAATGTCGATCAGGAGACGTATCCAGGTGAATATCCACTCAGTGAAGTATCAAGTGCTGGTTTATTTGATTTCATCCGAACTCTGGATTCACTTGGTGGAATTCTCGATATGCATGCATTTGGTGGTCAAGTGCTTCGTCCATTTAGTAATCAACCAGGTAGTGGAGACGAACCATTTGGTTCAAAGATGCGTACACTGGGGAATAGTGTACGCAATGCACTATCGACACACCCAAATGTACAGTATACAAGTGAAACTGGAGCTAATCTCTATAGAGCCTATGGATGTTTTGATGATGGCATGTTTTTGGAATTTAATTATACTGTACCAGCATTGACAATTGAAGTGGAAGGGAGTGACTTTATATCACCTCAAGCTTCCATTCGGTCTGTTGGTCAAAACATTCACTTGGGTTTGCGTCAATTTGCACAGGAAGCGCATGAGTATAGTAAGTTTGTAAATGAATATTTACAATAGCTTCATACTGTACGTGTATATACGTATGTATACTCGTGTATACTCGTTGACATGTAGCCATGTTGAATTTAGAGTACCTACATAAGATAATAACCAGGTTGTTCTTTTAGAGGGATTTCTAAATCCATTGGGTCTCAGACGACAGAATAATTTTAGAAAATAATGTTAGCACAACAAGAAGAAGTGGAGGCGGATGTATGTGATACTGTATAGCTATATATAGAATAATAATCTTTCTAGCAATCTCTCTCTCTCTCTTTCTGCCATTGTAATTAATTAAAAAGATAATATGTGATGGTAAAAATTAGGTTCGCAAAGAAGATCAACTGTATATTAACGAATTTGGACGGAATAATGCGCTACTGCATGAAATTCGTGACCAAAAGAAGGTGTTGAAGGCCAAATTGGATACTTTGGACGATGCCAATACGGACCTCATGATGGGCGAAGGTGACAATGTCCAGTAAGTTGTATACAAATATCAAGATATTGTGGGAGACGGCATCATGCTGACACTTGTATGGTGTCGTAGATTATTTATTGGGGAGAGCTTTGTCGAGACATCCGAGGAATCGGCTCAAGAACACATTGAAAAAAGGGTGGAGGTAGATACAATTATGTGCAATTGCAGAAGTGTTGTCGTTGTTTGTTGGGGATACGTGATGATAGTTTTTTATGGTATTGATAGGAAGCAAATACGGAACTCGAGAAGCTGCAAGCAGAGGAAGCTAAGCTAGAGGCTCGACAGTCGGTGAGAAAGTTAATTAGTAAAAGAATTGTGATGTGTGTGAGAAAACTTGACAATGGTTGTGTGCTGGTTGTAGATTCTGAAAAAGTTGCTATACAGCCGCTTTGGCCAGAGCATTAATCTGGAGGACAGCTAACAAAATGAGCAGAAGAAATCTGAGACTACTGCTGGTATTGAACACGAACTTTGCAGCTTTGGGATTGGTAGAAGGATGAAGATACGTTCGTGTCGAGTTAAGGAGCTCATATATGAAGCTGAAACAGTTGAGGCAGTTCAAACGTTTGTGGTGTGATGCAGTTCGTGTCTTATAGGATTTTTATGACGATGCAGTATGCGAGCTTATGGATCATATTCAAAGTGCACGTCAAGTTGTCAAGCGAGACTCGGGTGATAAAGCTACAAATGCGTATTGAATTTGTCAGTGTGACAAATTCGGAGATGCACCAGTGCACTGCAAGATATGAAAACCAGCACCAAAGATTGACGACGCAATTGCTCGCAAGCCTGCGCTGTTTCTACAAGGTTCTCTCGGATTGCAAACGTGTGGAAAACCCTGCATGTCTTCGCCACCTTGGCAAGAATTATGTAACTAGGAGACCAATTGCACCAATGGTCGAAGGGTCTTCTGTCTCAAGCCAAGGATAACAACATTGCACCCAGACGCCATTGGGAATCCGCCTGTCTATTGGCTTCATCGATCTCGAGCTCCTTCTGATGACTCCACTTGATTTTTTTGCTGGTATAGATCAGGAAGCAGCTGGACTTGCAGCATCAACTGCACCGTTTAAGGTGAGCCATGGTTGATAACTCACCTACAAGTACTTCTTGTCCTGTAGAATAGTATGTCTTCTAATAGTTGACAGCACTGTTTTTTAACCACTTGCAGTTGCACTTTTGTGCACAAGACGGACAGATACTGACCCCATATGGGTGTATTCTCCACGACAAATCAAAACTTTTCCTTATCCATCCATTAGTTTTGTGACGATGACTAAATTATGCGTGAAGTAGGAATCTGCACCGAGAAAATTGATCTGAACCGTAAAAGTGTCTTGTAAATGGCACATATAGTGCATTCAATAGTCAAGTTTAAAGTATAGTTAATGGTACTGTAGGTACTGAAATCATCGAATTATTTGCTGATAAAAGAACTATATACTTTAATGCAATCATTACGCATCCAAGTCCAATCATTCAAAAGTATCTCTTGTGTTTTGCAGCCGCTCATAAAAAAACCGTAAATTCATTTGCATCTACAATGTTACATTTTTCCAAGACGTTGATGGAAAAGACAGTAATACTCAAATAAAGGTTATTCTTGAATCGCGAAAGTCTCTTTCAGAACCTTCATCAACCGATTAAGTGATGATGTTACATCAACAATCTGAGACATACATACTACAGTAGTAGCTTCAAGAAATTCAGGTATATGGGCATCTCCAAGTCGTTTTTTCGTCATTGTTCAATATCCTTGAAAAGCTCCACGTCAAACATAGCAACATGCTTGCATGCATTTCAAACAATACTCACTCACTTGAAGTGACACGACATTTGCAATTGCAACAAGATGATCAATATGAAAAAGGACCGTATGTGATCATCAAGGAACTTGGTTCAGGGCTTCATGGTCGTGTCTTTTTGGCCTACGATGACCAACAACAATGTCATGTTGCTGTGAAATTGCCAACGGTGTTGACACTTGATGCACTGACAACGGGTCACGTAAATGTCAATGAACTTGAACAACAAGTGGCATCCATTACCCACGAATGCAACGCTATGCGTCGCGTGCAGCACCCCAATGTCCTGCAAGTTGACCGATTAGTCTTGAATCAGAAATTTTCATATGACTACGTGGCTATGGTGACCGAGTTTGCACCAAATGGAGATATGTTTGACCTGGTGGAAGCAGCTGGAGCTCTTCCTGAACCATTGGTGAAAGTTTACGCGTGTCAATTGTTGCGTGCATTGGAGGCGTGTCATGCAAATGGGGTTGTGCACCGAGATGTAAAACCAGAAAACTTACTGCTGGACATCAACTACCAGCTCAAGCTTGCAGATTTTGGTGTCGTAGCAGTAGCACCAATGGGCTCGGCTGCGACCAATGTGTTTCCAAGAGACGAGAGTGGAACGGCATTGTACATGGCACCGGAGATCAAGTCGAGACAAAAGTACCGTGGCACACCGGTCGATGTGTGGTCAACAGGTGTGGTGCTCTTTATCTTGATGACTGGCTTCCCACCTTTCAATGTAGCACAGGAGGGAGATGTCTGGTATGACGATATTCTGGCCGGTGACTTGGAGCACTTTTGGAAGACGCAGCCTGACGAAGTACTCTGTGCCATGAGTCCTGGTGCGCAGGACCTCATTTCATCGATGCTTGTTGCTCCTGATCAACGCATCACAGTGACGGAAGCCCTGCAGCACACGTGGCTACAAGGTGCCGACAGTGTGGATGTCGCGCTGATTCGCCATGCCGTGTCGACACATCTGGAAGCAGCTCTTGCTGCGAGCAAGATCATGACAGCCTGAAACAGCAGCAATCCTCCATGCCAAAATGAGAGCTGGAGTAAAGCAGAAAAACTCATTTATTTATCAATTGCAATATATATGTAACTATCACTCAAGTCATTGCTCCATGCGAGCATCCTTTCTCTCTTTTCACGTTCGTGCGCTGAGATTGAGCTCTCTTTCATGCCTAGTTTACACTAGCCTTGCAGTTCCAAGACAAATGTGCCAACTTCTGACGTACTCCAAATGAGGTTCAAACAGCCTTGTTGACGGCTTACATGGATATTTCAAAACAAGCATAATAAACAACGTGACGACATCCTCTACTCTTTTAGGAAGCGAGATCCCCACTCCACGATAAATGCTGCTGAATATTATGCAGTGCTGCTGCAAGTTGTGTGCATAATCATTTGGCGCAACTTCTTGACCGTTGGTGACGGTTGACCATGCATGATATTCACAAACGGTTTTCTGAATTTTGCACCGGCAATGAAATGACCACGTCCTGTCTTCATCGTATGCATCTGAACCTGTAGCAACTCGAGCTCTTCTGCTTGCGAAAGCTCACTCGAATTGTCAAAAAACTTGACATTCTCTTTCCAGTTCATGCGACGCCATAAATGCAATGAATTGGCCCATTCTTTCATGAGATCGTTCGTCGGTGCTGCAAATTCCGTCACACGAGGTTCACTCAATTTCATACGACGGTCTTCGACACGGACCACCTGAGCAGCCGACACGGTAAACCGGTATGGAAATTTGCCAGGTATCGGCTTTTCGACACACACTTTGGTCGCATGACCAGCCATTTCAAGTTCTCCTACGATTCTCCCACCCTTGTCCGAATAAAACTTGACCACACCGTTTTCAAACACACAAAAGAGTAAGCGCTAGTTACATGCCAAGAAGTTAGTATAAATAAAAGAATGAATCAAGTACAGGGGATAAATGCCGCTTACCGAGGTGTCATACGCACTTCTTCCACATTTAATGAGATATCCCTCTCGATACATGATAGAATCGTCTACTAGTATACTGACGTTAAGTATATTTTATCCCACTTTAGGTAACTAACCAGTGACAATTTCCGTGTGTTCTGATTCCGTTGTATGGCTTGTACTTGACTAAGTATCCACGCGTTTAAACCAGCTGTTTTTCGAGAAGCGGTAACTTTCTCGTAGAACCAAGTCACACGTAGCAACTACGACTTGTCCAGCTAAATATATATATATCGTGACTAGTTCTTGTGATCTTGGGCTTCAATGGACGATAATTGCACTATCTAATAATGGTGTCGTCGTTGCTGCCAAGTATTTTTTCCACCAATGCTTTAAAACAGTGTCATCTCCGGTCACGTACGATTGCTAACAGATGGCAAATGGTATACAATTTTCAAGTCAAAGGTAATACGACCAGTTTATAACATCGATCGTGCTTTTCCGAGAAAAAAGCCAGAGCATTATTTGGACTGTATAAAAAACCCATTTGTTATCCGACACCTGTGACAGGAGCACCTGTATAATCCGATATTGTTGCTGACGACACGTGCATCACGCGTGACAAGGAGTCGTCAACGATAGGAGGGAGGTATTTCTTATTCAAGATACTTTTTCTATAATCAGAATGAGTGCTACTGATAATGACAAGAATTTACTACTAGTAGAAAAGTTTGCACGGTTCAGTAGCACTACATTTTGTGCTGATAAATTTTACAAGACCATTGGCTATGGAGTTGGAGCAATGGGGCATTTAGTAATGCACATGACGCAACAAGAGACTGCGATCTCTCAAGGTTTTCAAGCGATTGCATCAAATATTTCAATGGCACGTTACGTTATCCGCTTTACCGGTGGTTTTGAATCGTATGCGGCATGGAAAAATGGATCCTGGTGCTATGATGATGATGATGAACATGTGCGACGCCTTGTGAGTCTACAAGCGCTTTCTATGATGATCTATTATCCATTAGAGCATGTATCATATGTGGGATTTGTGTGAGTGGATTTCGAGCTATTTGTGTGGTCATTTTGACTGCAATGAGTGCTGATTTTTTCATGGTGATACTATGTTGATGGTGTTGTTATTGTGCAGAGCACCAAAGTTGCTGACTGTGGATGCAATGAACATCTCACGACAGTCGTGTCGAGCATGGGGAGTTTACATTCTACTGGATATCTACGCCAATGCACTTCGGTACGTTACAATTGTTGAAGTAAATGGAGATGATACATGTAGTGATGTTAATGTGTGGAATGAAATAGGATTCGAGCGCTCACGACAAAGGAAAAGCAGCTGATGGAACAACAAGATCTTGTGGATGAAGAGGTGATTGCATTATTGTGATGTAGTTGTTGGGCGTTTGTTTCAGTGTCATTGATCTTGTGTGTTGTGTCTATTGTTGAAGCGTTCGACTCAACTCGCAAGCATCCAAGCTCGGTACGTTGAGTACTTCTGCTTATTTACATTGTTGAAGATGACAGAATAGTCTGCATTGCAACCACAGGCGTCGTGAACTTTATTACGTGCAACTCCGCAACTTCTTTTACGCTGGACCTTGTATTCACTGGTCTCTTGAGAAAGGATTCCTCCCAGGTATATCTGTACATGTCATTTAACACGCACAGTGTCTTCTACAGTAGATTCACCTCTGAGCTGTTTATGAATATGTCCCACTCAGACCGCCTCGTGAGTTTTCTGTGCGCGGCAGAAGCTATCGTCGGCCTTTGGCGTTCGTGGGCAAATACCAAGTAATGTTCTGCGAAGTAAACACCAACAAGTGCTTCGTATGTCGCTTCAAGTTGCCATGATGGAAAGCCAACGAGCAGTTATTTCAAATGGCAATCGACTACATGTAGTTAAATCCGTCGTGCATGTTTCTTTTGTCATGTCTGCATGAAAAGCACTGGTTGCATACCTATGACACAAGGGCTCTGCGCTGGAAGAGATATGAACCTCCATAAAGTTGTTACAACAACTACGCCTACTTTGTCAAATTCAAATCGTTCTGTTGTGCCTCCTACGACCACATTGTTTGTTTTGCTACGGAAGTGCAGTGAGCTACTTGACAAATTCCCATTTGTTGACCATCATCTTGGAGATGCACTGGAGGGCTTGCTTTTGCACCTCCCCATTTTCGTGCGTCATCAGCTTCATCGCCACCTTCTTAGCACCAAGTCTCTTGGCAATGTGCTTGCCATTCGGGTAAAAGCGGACAAATTCGCCCAGATCGAATAGAGCCACAGCAACTGTTTTTGACTCGTTGGATTCCAACAAGTCGATCAATAAGCTGCATTCAATGGCTGTTAGATGCAAGAAGTTTGCGCAATATTTTTCTGCTTGCGTACCGGATAAGCTCGAAGTCCTTGTTTTCAAATGTCATGAAATTGTCTTTCCAGAATTTGTCAGTGTGCAAGAGTCCCCAATTCAGTGTTCCCGTTTTTAGTTCCTTCTCGTAGCGCTCCATGGTGCTGCACACAAAGCATCGCAAAAAAGGATACAACAAAACTCGGTGTTTAGTCTTGGCTCCGTATGCACGCGCGAGGTGACATTTTATCATACTTCAGCTCCTTGTATTCGCGAATGAGTACGTCACGAACAGCTTGAATGTCCTTCGCAATATCTTCGTCGGCCCACTTTCGCTCGCGCATGTTTTTCAGAGTCTTCAAAAGCCCGCTATCGATCATTCGTTCATTGAAGAAGCCACTGAGCTTACCGAGTAGATTCTGCGAGTACAATAAACCCAGTCAGCAACGGCGATACTCGAGTCTGCAACATCAGTTTCTTGTTCTTAAATTCCAGCAATCTCACCTGTAGAGCTTCTAGTGCAACGCGCACGACCTTCTCACGTGGAGCTGCTGCCACTTGGAACACAATCGCGTCCAATGCGTTCGCAGCCACAAACTTTTCCATAGCTTGGTTGCAAAAAGCCAATGTCCACAGGATAAAGGTGAGCTGTAGACAATTGCATGAACAGATAGGGATCAAATACATGTAATGATATCCAGACCGCAAGGGCTAATTGCATCGCTGGTGAACACACCTCGTACGCAAGCTGTGCGCGGTTCTGAGAGCTCTTCAGCAAGTCCACCACCCTGTATCGCGATAACAGTATAAACGTGAGCATACACACATAACACAGAGAGACAACAATGCACTTACGGAGCCACCCCTCCAAGTTTGACAAAAACTACTCGCAATTTTTCGTTGCGCAGAAGTACCATTAGAGATGCAACCGCAGCACGCGTGGCGTCTGCACGGGTGGAGTCGTTCGTTGAGGTCGACAACGCTCCCGTCTTCAAAACCTGGATTGCCCACTGGCTCAAAGCTTCAGCATCTTCTTGACTCGGTCGTATCCTGATCAAATCGGCAATCCATTCTCCTCAATTAGTCATACCAATGTCACTCCATACCAGCTGATACGACGTACGTGAGGAAGAGTGCAAGCAAATGGCTTGCAGCGTATTGCACATAGCCCGTATTATTCCGGATCATTCTCAAAAATGGAGCAGCATCCACAGTACTGCCTTCCGGCACAAAATAGATCATGCGTTTGTGCAAACGTAGACCATCTACCAACACAAACAACAACAACATCAGTAAGTAGTTTTAACAGTAGCAAAACATATGAGTTCATACTGTACCAGGCAATAGTTCCTCCATGCGGGCCAAACAATACTTGAGCACCGTCGGTTCTGTCACATTCTTCACCAGTTTTAACAACGTATTGCCAACGGAAGTTCCAACATCTATAACATTGTCATTGCGATAATAATAAATTAGTGCATCATAATGAAGTAATAACCTCCATCAATTACAGCCATTTAGTACCACTTAAAAACTCGTCCACAGCTTTCACCTGCAAGAAATGGCTCGATATTATCAGTTCTTATGCTCGAATTCAAGTATTTTATTGTCAGTAGGACCTCACATTAGTGACGTCATCAGCACTAGGTTTGATGATTCCTTCCAAATTCTTTAATGCCGTAATCTCGGTCTTGTCAAGTGAAAACCCTCCTACACTAATAAAATTGTTTGACATGTAAAGTAATCGTTAAGTAACATTGCACAAGTGTCAATGCCATACATATGCGCACGTACCGCGTATAAGTGGCCCAATTAATATCTCGAAAGCGATGCAGCGCTTCTTCTCTCGCTAGCGCTACATCCAGTGACCCGTTACCTGAGATATCAATCGCCACATGGCTCTTGCTGTCCATTGCACCGCCTCGTCTTGCTACTTCAAGCTTTTTGAGATCTCAATGATGCCGAATATTACTTAACCACACTAATATCCCTCCATACCTATAGTAGGACAAAACCTAATTTAGTCTGATCCGGTGATACCTTACATTCCTACTACAAGACAAATGAGTGTAGCGCGAACCAAGAGAATCTTGTTTGTTTTAGGCGGTCCGGGTGCCGGTAAGGGCACGCAATGTATGAAACTGGTTCAAAAGTATGGATTTGTGCACTTATCGGTAAGGAATTAGCCGTCATTTTGTAGTCGAACCCGCCGCATTCTCAAAGATGTGTATATCTTCCATATAGGCTGGCGATTTGTTGCGTGAAGAACGTGAATCAGGCTCTGCCAATGGTGAGATGATTGATCGCATGATCAAGGAAGGACAGATTGTGCCCGTAAAGATTACGCTGAATTTATTACAGCAAGCCATGGTCAAGAGTGGCCGTGACCTGTTCCTTATCGACGGGTTTCCACGTAACTTTGACAACTTGCAGGGATGGCAAGATGAAATGGCCGAAGAGGAGTACCAGGTCCAGGGTGTGTTGTTCTATGACTGTCCTGAGAATGTCATGGAGGAGCGGCTGCTTGAGCGTGGCAAGACGAGTGGACGCACCGACGACAATACGGAGGCCATTCACAAGCGTTTTCGCACGTACCTTGACTCTACGATGCCTGTCATTACGCACTATGAGAAACAGAACAAGGTCTTCAAGGTAGATGCCACTCGTGGTCCTGATGAGGTCTTTAAAGCTACTAGTGCTCTGATCGGACCCCTCGTTGCCAAGTAAATTGAGCCATGGCAACATTTTCAATGGAGACCATTTCAATCCATGGATCTTCGACACCCACTTTAACCTAGATAAATATACCTCCTCACAAGGCAAGTAAGTATTGTACAATAGTATATAGTAAAAATGGATGACACACCCTTCGTGGCTTCTATGCTATATTCTAGTTCATAGTTCCATCCTATCATCAATCATATCATTATCACTTCATTCATTGATCATGAGCTTCGAGGAGAGCGTCACGTCCTTTTACGTGGCGCTCGCGGAGCAGCAACTGGAGCAGGTTTGTCAAGCTATAAGGAACATGCAAATCTCAGTTAAGTGTACATTGGATGAAGACCACGAAGCGGCAGCTGTACGCGATGAAATGCTACGTAGCTGCGAAGTTAAAGCTCAGAGTTTGCAAGAATTGGCTCTTTTGAAGCTACAACACGCCTGTACAGGCTCTGACGTGGATGTGGATGCCGTACTGATGGCTTTTTCTTGCTGCGTTGCTCTGGGTGCTACTCAAGACGCGGTATCGAGGTTTTCCAGCTGCTTTAGTAACATCTTTGCTACTCAGGCACGAGCCAGTCTGGACCGTGTACGAAGTAGTAAACAGGCTGCTAAAGTCAATGAACATGGCTACATTGATCGTGCTTTTTACGTCGAAGCTCTGAGTGAGCTCTTGACGGGAGCTTCGGATATTATGAACGCTGTAGCAGACGTTACAGATGATGCACAAGTACTGCGACAAGTGCTGGAACCGATCCACTTGTCGTGTGCAGAGACAGCTCTGCAAATGGTGCAAATGTATGCGGGTGATGCACGTATGGTAGCGTGGGAACGGCGAGCCAATTTACAGGCACAGAGAGATCCGAGACAAGTTCTAGTGGGAAATGACGTCGAGGCAGACGAGAGTCTGCAGATGATTGACTTGTTTTTGGATGAACTGGCATTTATTATTCGGGTGTTGGTGAGTTATACCGCGTTTCTGATGACGGTGTGTGAAGGGTTGGGACAACAGGATGGAAACAGTGGGTTTCAGATGAAGGTACAGGAGCTCAGTGGCGTATACGTGCTATTGGAAAGGTTCTACGTGTTCCAGTCGATTCATAAAGCTACAGCGATTGCTGAGCCACAGAGACTAAAGCATGGTGTTTATGTATGGAGTGTCGTCGAGGACGTGTCTTTTGTGCTGAATAAAGCGTTCTATAGAGCGTCGCAGTGGTAAGTTAGAAATTTAGTAGATAGCTATCATTCGATGGCGTTTTTTATATTAACTGATGCTATGCTTTGTTCTACTTGCTGTAGTATGAACTACCACACTGCGTTATCCATTGTAATTGCGCTTGTGGATGCTTTGGAATTACAGTACCTGCCAGCTATATTAGCACTGCCTAGCCGACTGTGCGTGATCCCATTGAGCCCTATTCATGCAGCATCTGCAAACTTAAATGGCAATGGAGACCCTAGACTTGATGGTGAGGTCAACGATGAAAACGAAGTGTCTTTTTCGGACATGCTGCTTCAGGCAGTGGATGAAGATTTAGAGCGAACATTGCAGGAGGAAGCAAGACTTCTTATGACCATTAACTCGGCATTCGTGAGTGGTGAGTTTGTTCAAGCATTGCAGGCAAAAATTGAAGAGTATTCTCGGGTCGATTTCCCCAACGATGCACCCCTCCTGGAGTGCCTACCTACTCCCATTCACGATATGACGGAGGCATTCCACTCGATTGTGTCGAATGAAGTGCAAGAAGTGTTGTCTCGCTCGATGCGCAAGCGATTGCTGGAAGTGATTCAGCTCCAGATGAATGAACAATTGAAATATGTGCTTACATCAGCAGAATACGACGCTTTCGGTTCGCGGGGATCACCTTTGTTAAGGCTGGTGGAGAATGAGATTATGAAAAACCGAGAACTACAACGCTATGAACGAGCATTGTGCAATGCACCTTTTGAGGATCTGGTTGAAGCGGTTGCTAAGGAGCTTGCTTCTTGTCTAGAGAACGCTGTGCTGACATCCAAGAAACCTTGCAACGAATTGGGTGCACTGCAGCTCGAGCGTGAAGTGACTGACATTCTCGCGCGTGTATCTTCGTTGGCGCCTCAAAAGAGTCTGCGAGCATCTTTCACGCGGCTATTCAAGGTGGTGTTCATTTTGAACCTCATGCAACCGTCGCACGTATTGGATTGTCGCACTAGTGTCCGTGAAGAACTTTCTCTAGAGACTGTTGTAACACTATTGCGACTGCGTGTGGACTTTAATCCACACGACGTTACTCGTACAATTGATCAACTGATCAAGGTGGACACACAGGCGATATCTGATGAAACGGGTAGTCCAAATAGCTCATGAGTGATGCTTTTTTAATTCTACGCTAGAGGTTACTGAATTATTCGCATTATTGCAATATGTCGCAAAGTCGAGTAACTACAAATGTGTCGTAATAAACTTTACTAATATAAAATACCGGTATTAGTAAGTAGCAAAAAAACACGTTTAGAACACTCTACAAACTAGTTAAAAAATAATGTACTTTTCGAATTTTATAGCTCAACCAAAAGCTCGATTCTACTTTTTGCTCTAAATTCTTAATTCGCAACAACGATGCCAACGAATCAGCTACGAATGACAAACTGAAAGAAGTGTTCGACAATTAGTTCAATGTTTATTTTACTTTGTGAGTTCATACTCGTCGATTACAAAGATTTATATTCTAGGAGTAGAATCATGGAGACCGTGGTGAGTTATTGGCAGATTCTGCGGTTTTGGGTGTATCCGTTACGAAAAAGTATTGATCATCTTCAAATGAAGCAGTCGACGTATCGTTGGACGTATCAATCGTTGGAGTGTCTGCTACCGGTTGGTGTTTCAATCCAATTGTCCGGTCCTTTTCAGCAAAATGAGATCCTAGTTTAACAAATACACCCGACAGTATTGACGCCACAACGAGAGACTTTGCCCACACGAGGTAGCCTGCGGTATCAATGACGTTACCCATGACGGCACTAGATAAACCTGTTGAGAAATACCCGACTGCGTGCATGATGCCTGTAGCCCCTGCAGCAATTTCTTGAGGTAGATCCGTCGGCACAGTGTAGCTCAGCAAGGTATAATTGCCCAATATAAATACGCTCGAGAGAAAAGTGAGGGCTCCCAACGTCGCTACACTGCATGATGGGCTCACAAAGTAAATGACTGCAAGAACAATTGCCTGCAGCAGCGAGAAAATAAAAATGGGCTTAACCCGATTCGAGTTGAAGACAGCGTCGCTGATATAACCACAGAGAACACCTCCAACAAATCCTCCAATAGTCCAGGCACCACCGATGATAGCTGTATCACTTGACGAGAGAGGTACAGAACGGACGTCGTCGAAAAAGGAGAGGAACCAGTTGAGGAATCCGTCGCGTACCCAGCAGAGAAAAAACAAAGCAGCGAGGTATCCGAGGAAGGTATAATTCTTCAAGAGCTCTTTCATCTGTTGCTTCGGTGTCAGAGGCTCTTCCTCAAACTCTTCTCCTACAGACACAAACTGAGGCTCAATTTGTGCCGAGCAAGCCGGCAATTGATCTGCTGAAAAGTGTTTTGTGTCGGCAGGCGAACTCTTTACAGCGTATGCAATGACTGCTGACATAAGTAAAAGTACAGCTCCTGGAATGATAAACACGTACGCCCAGCCCAAGGACTCGATGATGCTACTTCCCGTGCCCAGTGATAAATAGTACCCGCTTGTCAACATGACATTGAAGACGCCAGCAAACATTCCACGTTCACTAGCCATGTACCACGCCGCGTTGATCTTTACAACAGCGCTAGTTCCAAACCCTTGCATCAGCAGATTGGATGCATAAAACACAATGAAGAGAATTTTCGTCACGAGATGGGATGCGTCGCTGAGAAAGATCATTCCGAGTGCCAAATTGCACACTGCTGCCCCTACGCACGCAACAAGCATGCCATTCCTGCCCCCGATGCGATCAGTGATTTGTCCTGTGAAAGGTGAGCTGATGGCGTATGCCCACGATCCGGCCGATAATACCCTAAAGCAGCAGCATCACAATGTTAACGATCCAAGTACTAGAAGATGATTTCAAATGAAACCGAAACGTACCAGCCCATGTAGGAAGACGAGAAGCCAAGTTTGCTACGGACCGACGAAACGTTGCCTGCAGATACATTGTATCGAGCCATGTAAAAGGAAGCATAGGCCACACCCAAGGGAAACCAATTTTGCAGACGTCGCCATCTATAAGGTAGCACAACATAGTAGAACGTCAGTCAAGTGCAACACTACAATCAAAGCTTTTTACATGCAAAGCTTACCGATAGCTTTTCGAATGTAGTTTTCGTCCCTGGGGACTTAACTTGACATCGTATATGACACTGCAGAGTACGAACGTAAGGATCAGCAGTGAAATAATTACTTGAGCATCCATATTGTGAATTTGTTTTGACCGTCCCAAACAAGGAAGGTTTGAAAATGAGCATGTTTCAAGTAGAGGGCGTGTAAAGCCTTTGTCCTGTGATACAGGGCAAAAATACGCACGTACACATCATTTCTGAGCAGTCCACTTGACTTGCTGTTGCTGTCGCCTACTTGAAGATGTTGTAACGATCTATTCGGAACCCAGTAATCAACGTCGTTTTTCCAATTCGGAACCCCAAATAATCATGGAAAAGTTTCGCCACTAACGATGACGGTTATGATTGCTGAACATTTGAGTCGAAACCCCCGAGTGAGAAGCAAATAAAGCTTCACGACTCACTTGTAGCATTCATGACGGTTAGCCTGACTGACCATTCTTCTTGACCCGATAAAGGTCTCCTCTGTTTTCTGCGCGAATAAGCACAGTCCATCGACGTTTTGTTTTCTCACCTACTAGTTCCTTACTTGACACTTGGTGATAGAGAAGGAGTTCTTACACCCAGCAGCAATAAGATCCAACCTCGAATTTCCCAACAACTATCTATCAAGAGCCGGAAGTAGAAAGCAGTTGGGATTTGGGAATACTGTACATGTTGAAGCCGTTCGGAAGCTCCAAACGTTGAAAAACGATCAAACAATATTCAGGACAGAGAGACGTCAGGAACTTACCAGCTGATCATGATTTTGAAATGTGACAAATGAGTAACAGACCGGATATTGAGCTGACTGCATAGCTAGAAGGAGCGTTTGGGAAACTATAGAATTGGCTTAATATGCGCATACTCACGCATAGCGAATGACAATGTACCAGCTGTAGTCACGGACAGTTGAGACGCTGTCATTGACTACTTCGACTTTTCCTCTATTCTCAATGACTGGTGCATTACGTGCTCTTGTCGCTCATATTTCATCAATGACAACTGATGCACTGGTCCTAACGCGTACGCTGTACGTGAAGAACGTGTTGGTGCAACATTTGGAACGAGTGCGGTTCCAAAGGATAACGTAGTAGCGAGTGTGTGCAGCCTTTTGCGAGTGCTGCAACAACTCATTGTCAGATATGTAGAGAATGACTTCCACCCCCCCCCCCCCCTCACGCCTGCACAACAAATGCAAACCCGCATATTCCTTGGATATCTTTTTTCTTACTGCTAAGCGTGTCATTGTTTTCTTAGCTAATAGATCTCATTATTCGGTGCCGTGCGTAAGGTGGTCCTAACATCAAGTGATCACGGCTATCTATACCTGGAACGAGGTAGGCTTTGTCGCACGTACTATATCCTAAGGCATTGCTACTAGTGACAGGTTTGAAACCAATCTCAAAATGTCGTTGGTAGAGGAGATTATGACCTTTTTCTCATGATAAAGAAGACGATGATAACAACGAGGTAGTCGGGTTTGTACGTTCTAATCATTCACTAATACACTAACCAGAATCTTGTTAAGTACGCATCAAGCATTTGTAAATATTGAGGTTAGTAATGTCAAGTGATCTACTAACGTACGAGTTTGTGTGCAAACTGTCCGAGGTACCACTGGGATCCAAGAAATGTATTGAGTTACCAACTTCGCATCGTAGTGTCATGTTGCTTAATCTCCGAGGAAAAGTTTTTTGTATGGATCAAGCGTGTTATCGTGAGTTTTTGAATCGAGATTGGGGAGATAGTGATGTTCTAATAAGCGATGATCCTGCTGCTCTGTAGACCATGGTGGTCCTTTGGTTAATGGAGATATTGAAGAAATGGGCACTAAAACAACCGTCAAGTGTCCGTGGCACGCCTACCATATAGTAGTCGAAACGGGTGAAGGGCTTTACAAGGGCGTGGACATGACCATGACTTCATCTGGAAAATTACGACCGTCATCACCTAGACTTAAATCCAAGGGCGTCAAACAACGCACGCACTTTGTCGAGCTGCGTAATGATGGACAAGATGTTTACGTAGCCGATTCTTCTGCTATTCCGGGTAAACATTTGCTTGGAATGCACGACTGAATCTTTTATCCCTCTGACTCAAAACATTGCAGGAGCACCCATAATCGAGTCAGACGTGTATGCATTCCACACTACCAATATCCCCGAGGCTGCCAAGAAGGGTGAGGTACGAATCCACTCGCGCTTCGAATAATCTACCAGCAATGATAGGCCGTCTGCTGCGAAAGACCAGTGGGATGCTTGTTTAATTTAGCGCTTTTTGCAAGTATGCCAGTAACGCAGATTTTCTCTACGTGTTTCACATGGCCTCGCAGCTTACAGGAGGGACTTCGTAACGATACGCGCAGCCTCGGCACGTACGAACAGCTTTGGGCGGATGTATGGCTTCTGGCTCAACAGCCAATAGTTGGCATCCTCTAAGGTCACTTGACTGTCGGCCACCCGCGGAGCGTACTTCATTGATATACTTTCGTTGACACGGCCATCTACCTTCACCACTCCCTCCTTGTCTTGCTGCAAAAGACGCTCCTTCAGATCCTTTATAGCGAGCTCTTCAACGTCCATCTCCGCTTCATCCCGTCCGTCTTGGTTTAGTTTGCTCCGATCCACCTTTTTGCGCTTCTTCGCACGTTCTTTCTCAATCTGTTCCTCACGCCTGGCGTCTTCCAGCAGTTGTAACCGCAAACCGAGATCTTCCTGTCGTAATTTCGAAAAGGAGTCGTCGCAGCTAACGCGTAAAATATCTGTTGCCGACAGCTCCATGCGATTGCCCAGTCGACCGTCCATAGGTACTCCAACCCTCTGTATCTTTTGCAATGCCTCGAGTGATTTTGCTTGCGAATCCCCACGCTGCTTCGCGATCTCAACCATTTCTTCCATCACCTGTTTCAGATACTCATGTAGGGCGTATGCCATCACCTCACTCGTCTGAGCTCCAAATTCGACACCTGCTCGCCGGCCAGCCTTGCGCATTTGGGCGCGTAGCTTCTCGGAATTAAATAAATCCTTTTCCACCCATTCTTCTTTCTGGCACGGCAACTGCTCTGCCATCCGTGGTCGTCGCACACCACCCTCCATCATGATGCGTCGTTCCGTGCCCAGCTCAATGTGTGTGTGAGTAAGAACATCAGCTTCTTTGCGGATGTCCGCAACACTAGCCTGGGCCAGTTCTTGGCTCACCTGGTCTGATGCAGCAATAATTTGTGGCACTACCTCGGCCGTCATTGGCTTTGTTCGACTAGTTAGGTTCGTGCGCGGCTTCTTTAAAGGTGAGCGTGGCGTTAATGGCATAGCGTTGCTTCCACGCTTGTTCAGCATCCCCGATGGAGAGGAAGCTACAACCATGCCAGCTGTAGTTGTGTTGACAGAAGGCGCAATAGACGTCTTCACACCAATCAGCGGATGCGGCGACAACGTTGGGCTGGGTGCTGGTAGAACCGGCAACAGTCCGATCTTGCACATTGGGCAATTGGCTGTGTTGTTTTTCGCTACGCATGTTTTATAGTGCCCGTAAACTTGCTTGTATGTTTTAGCACGAGCCTGCAAGGATAATCAAGAGGTTGTCAAAGACATTAGACCTTGTGCTAAACCAACAAGCATAGCAAACATACCGGTGGATTAGGACAACTCATCTGCTTCATGATCGCCTTCGACTCTGCGCACTCTTCACCAACAGGGCATACACTGGTCGTACACTTTTCCACGTGAAGAATAAGCTGCAGTAAACGCCCATACTCCTGCGTCATATTAGCAGTAACATTCTTTTGCTGTGGCTTAACAACGGATGGGGAAGAATTTACCGCTGTTGCAGCGGCTGGAGTCGTGGCATTTGGAGGTAGTAACCCCAAAAAGGGTCCAGGCGACCCGGAGCTGTTCGTTCGAGTAAGCGACGCATTTGAGCCTTTTCGCTTCAAAGGCTGAGCAGCTATACTTCGAACAGGCGTGTTCTTGGGAGACTTTGCCTTTGCATACTTCTTAGCTTTGTTCACAGCGGAAGACAAAGGTGTGTTGTCGTCGTCGTCATCATCACTCCCCACCTCATGTCCAACCCCAACCGCTTGCGCTGCCTTAACCTTAGCCGCCAAAGTTGCTTGGTTCTGAGCGTACGAGCGCCGCAAGCCGTCACAAAACGGGATAGAGCAATGGTCTGCAATCCCAACGGCGCATTCCTTCGCGTGGTACTTTACCAGCCCCTTCAGCTGTTCACAGTGCGAACACCCATTCGCTCCTCCACACGACAAACTGTGTTTGAATACACGACGGACATCATCACACTTCTTCACTTGACAAACGCCATGAGCATGTGAGCACGTAGCTGCATGTGACAACAACCGTTTTGCGAACACGATCTTTTCTAGCGCTTCATTTCTTGACTGTGCAACAATTGGCGACGTATTAGAAGATGACGTCGTTGGAAGCGTAGCAGAAGCACCAAATGTAGCTGGTATCCCTCCTTGTTCTAACTTCACACCAGGTGCTAACATCGTTGCTGAAGTAGTGTTAACTGTCCCAGGCGAAGGCGTTGATCGCGCCGTCGCTGCTGCAATTGATGTCGACATCGTTACTGGTGTCGCAGGCGGTGCTGCAGCAATCGTAGTTGGCTTTGTAAATGTAGCTGTCGTCGACGTTACTGCACTTTTTGTCATCCCCAACGTCCCAGCAGCTACTGGTCTACTCAAAGAACCTGATGCCGATGACGTTGACACTGCAGTAGCTCCAGGCTCTGGCTTTAAAGCACTACAACCGCCCTACAATAAGCAATAAAGCACGAAAACGTCAGTTCTTTGGTCTGCAAAGGTTTCGTGAAAACCAACGAAAACCTTACCGGTGTATTGGAAGTAGGAAAAGTCCTTGTCAAGTCCATTTTCTGAATGACACTAGAGAAAATTGCATCCCCTGCAATCCTCTTGATAATATCCACAATAGACTTAATGTCATTTCCATTGCCCTTTCTCATCTCGGAATGCAGCGCTGCATATTGCTCCATAGGCAACATTTGCTTTAGTAATGCAAACATTTGTTGAAACATTTGCTGTCCGGATCCAGGTGCTTGTTTGACGGGCGTAATGGGCTTTATTTGAGTTCCAGGGACACAGGACGTCGATGTCATTGGCTGTGGACGAATGGGCGTCACCGTTGGAGGTGTAAGAGGCTTGGACAATGAAGCTCCAATTGGAGCAGATGGTAATAAACCCCCTGGGGGTGATACAGTTGCTGTAGACACTGGAACACCAGAGTACGAGCGTATAGCGGGTAGAGAAGCTATTGAACGTTATAGCAAGAGATACAGAGCATTAGAAGAGGATTAAACAACATGGATAGAAAGAGAAGACACAAGCAAATATACTGTTTATCTCATCTTCGTCCCCCGAATCATCCCCACCGTACAATAAGTCATCAATTGGGGCACTCATTTCCACTTGCACTATATGTTCTCCTTATCGTCAAAAAAAAATGACAACGAGGGGGTTCGAGACTAAGTTGCACACACGTTGCGCAAAGACTTACGTTGCGAAGAATAAACATAAGCGAAACCGAATGTACGCCACATTTATTTATGGGTTGGTACATAAAGCTATTGCGATCAGTTCCTGACCGTAAAGCTCGATGGTCACGAAGCCAAGGCGAAAGTCCGGGAATCGCAACCATTCCAGAAAGAAAATGATGCTACAGCTAATATAATTATGGCTGCGGAATTATCGTGCTCTAAATCGATTCAGACAATTAGACCGACTCGCAGAAAGAGAGAAGGGACCATGAAGTCGTGATTTATTTGTAGATGACTTGGACAAGCCGATGAACCTCTTCCAGCCTGAAATGCACCTGTTATCTGCTGATCACAAACGAAAGCGCACGTCCCCCGCATTATTTGGTGCAATTTGTGGCATCGACGGCTTGGAGCAGCGATCAACAATATTTCGTATGTCTAAGCCAGAGCTCTCAGAGCCAGTTAACATGTTCAGGTCAGTTCCGACCCGCTGCCCACAGATCATTGGACGGATCCGTCCACGATAACGTTCCTTGTTTATTAAGACGAGTGGTGTCTAGCCAACGTGTTTAATAACCTAGTACATTTGAACTTCATGTTTTAGCTTTATCCGATTCCAACGTGTTCTTGCTTTTTGACTTCTTTAATGATGCATCGCAGTGGAAGCATAGCTTCGGCGAGTCACCACACACCGGTCAGCATCTGCCTAGACTAGGAATGCTTGACCGCAAGCGATCTGCTCTTGCTGCCAGATCCGCTTAATGCACATTGTTTTCCCGACTGGATCCGCTGACATCCGACTACGATTCCTGCTTTTGCTCGTCATGGATTGCGCTAGCAGCTTTCAACGTCGACGGGAAAAATGTCGGTGCGGCTTCCCGATAAATTGAAGCTCACGATCGTTCAGTCTTAATGACGTTCTCGACGTGGTGGAGGTGCGTGGCTTCTAGTGCATCTTTGCACGCAGTCCAGCAGCATTCTACCGGCGAAGATACTCAATCATCGATCTCTTCATGGTGCGACAATACTGTCTTACTGAGTAAGGCGCCGAAGGGTATTCATTTCTCGCTGTCTGGGGCTTGATTGCGAATATACGTTGCCGAGTCAGCTTCAGCACGATATTCGTTATTTTTTTCATTGTAGAGGCTCCTCAGCTTGGAAATCGTGGCCCACCTGATCTATGCTGTCGGCCGATGCCCTTAATCCAGGCCTCTGCCGATACGACTATTCGCATCGTGCTGCTCCCTTGTTGAGGTCATTCGGACCGTACTCTCTCAAGGTCGAGAGGCTGTGCGCGGTCTTACCGACTTTATTCGACGTCTGGACGATCGGGCCTTAGCCTGCTGTGCATGTCCAGCTAAATGCTTCATCACGAAATACCCCCTTGCTGCGTTGAAGAACAATATGGAGCATACTGTGCTGCCACAAATTGTGCATAATGAGCTAAGCGTTGCTGTCAGTGTACAGGCTTTCAGTCCTCGCTTCCGGCTTGAAGTTTATTGCAACATCACGGCGTCCATTGGCCATGTCTGATACAAGTAGCTTCCGAGGTAGCCAAGGCGTATTGAGACAAGTAGCGTAGTCGTCTTGGCGAACCTTTTTGCGACTTTTGTTGTAACAGGGTATCTAGTTACACGTAAACATTAAGTAATATACTTAATGTTTGGTCTAAAAGTATCCATGATTACTTTTGACCTGTCACTTAGGTGTGATACACAAATGTGATCCACCCTCGTGAATGTGATATCCATTTATGGATTCACATGGGAAGGGATGACGCTAGTTGAAGCTAGGCATCGCGACGTCTCAGAAAGACGTCAGTTGCGATCTTAAATCTAGATTTAAGATCATGCGACAGGATACGCTTCTAAAGAGTCGCGTATCCGATCTATATATATATATAGCCAATCAGTAGTTAAGCATATATTTAGTTATAATTAATTAAATATAGCTCAGTCTTGAATTTACTTAAACAAACGCACCACGCACCAGAAGTTGCAAAGACTTCTGCGTGATGTCGGTGCTTTAGTGTTAAGAAGTTCGTTGCACTCTCGCTTAAGCGAGAGGCAACTGGTGGTACGACTGCTTAAGCAGTCGACCAACCTCCCAACCACCCTCGCACGAGAAGGTAAGACGGTATAACCGCTTCCTCGCTTGTGCATAAGGTGTGTGCTAGTAGTACGAGGCAACTTCGTAGAAGTGCCCGTCTACACTTGGTAGCACTAGTAGTCCTTCCCACGACCCGTCTCTCTGAGCGTGCGTGTGGTTGACATGGTCCTTAATATGGACTGGAGTGACTTCCCTCACCTCTACCAACATCATAGGGAGTTGGCAGAGCATATGGCGCAGGGACTTGGCGAACAAGCCCTGGTCAATCTCTTGCATTGTCCTCCTGAGCAACATGTTGCTCAGTTGAAGCAATTTGAGGCGTTTGTGCTCGGACAGCGTAGAAACGCGTCCGAGGTAAAAAGCCAAGCCACCGCTGAGTCCATCACTAAGACTCAAGATGAGCTTAGGCTTGAGCAGGCACGAAGTGAGGCGCTCAACAGAACTGTTAAGACGCTCTCTGCCCGGCCTGCTCAACCGAGGCCCATTCGGATGGACCCTCCGAAGTTCGATGGAACTAGCCCTCACACGATTGTTCACTGGCTATTAGCAGTGGATCAATGTGGAGTGGCGCAGCTCATCGAAGACGACACCAGAATGGTGTCGTATGCCATGTCCAACTTGCGTGGCAAAGCGTCAGAGTGGGCATACTCTGCGCTGATGGCTAATGCTAATGCATTTCCATCATGGGCGATCTTTAAGGCAAAGATTCGCGCCATGTATCAGCCGCCTAACAACGAAGTGTTGCTTATGGCGCGCTTCTTTGGAGCACGACAGGCGAAACGCTCTCTGCAAGAATTTGTGCAGGAGATGCGTTCGCTGTCGGCGTCCATCAATGGGGAACCGATACCAGAGCGTATCAAGGTAGCCACGTTCATGAATGGACTTAGGCATGGCCCATCGCGTCAGGCCCTTTTCAGAAAGGTGCCAGCGACGATGGAAGAGGCAATTGACATTGCCTTAGTTGAGGAGCAATCCTACAACAGCGCCTCGGCGACAGCCTATTACAGGCCGTCGTCCGAGAAGTCTGATGCCACTCCTATGGAGTTAGGCAATGCAGATGTGATCTGCTACAAGTGCGGCAAGCGAGGCCATATGATGGCTCGCTGCTACGCCAAGGTAGCTACTGGTGCTAAGGCAGACAGCAAAAGGTCTCCCAACCCTAAGGGAGGTGCGAAAAACCAACGTGCACGACGCACGAGTTCAGCACCTGCCCAAGATGGGTCGGGAAATGCGGGAGCGCAGTATGGGCGGGATGCCCTACTGTCGCGGACTCTGGAGCTACCCCTAAGTTCAGGGTGATCGAACAATGGGTAGCATAGTCCCTGAGGTTCCGAAAGGTCGGACCTCAACCCTTTTAGTCTATAGCGCTCGAGTACGAGGCTATGACCAAGTGATGACCCTTCTCGTGGATTCGGGTGCATAACAAAACTTTGTGAAACTCGCGGCTCTGAAAAAGAGACCGGCGAGTTATGAGTCGCTTTGCCAGGATGGCAAGCGAGAAGAGGTGATCGTTCGTTTAGCGAACGGCGCGCTCTTCAAATCGGAGGGAGTTCAAGTTGAACTCGCCTTCAGCTTCAGTGACTTCTCGTGTACATAGAAGTTCACAGTGCTAGGTATGGAGAGTCCGTACGACCTCATCCTAGGCATGCCTTGGTTAGCTAAACACCAACCATGGATAGACTGGCGTACACGCACAGTCGCTAGCTCTACGCAAGACACCGGAAAGGATGTGCTCTTGCGAGAGGCTTATGTGACTGATGCTGTGTCCAACACAGTTGAGGGTGCGATGACGGTATGTCAATCGACACCAGGAACTGCCCAGCTCAAAAGGAGTGGTGTAGTTGGAAGTGCACTGGCGGAAAGTCAGGTGACACATTCCTGGTCGATAAGACTGGTGTAGTGAATGGGGCGATGACAAGTAGTCATGTCTTTAATAGTCCTGCACAGAGCCGAGAACCTGTGGCAGTTGATGGTGGGCTGACAGGAAGTCAAGCGCCACAAGAACCGGCACAGAGCCAAGAGCCTGGTGCGGTTGGAAGGAGTGCGTTAGCTGAATTAGCAACGACACCTTCTTCCAGGTCAAAGGTCGTGGTGACTCGAAGAACGAGCACCAGACGTATTAAGACGATCAAGGGCACGTCGAAACGAGTGACCCTTGGATCAGTCTCGGTCCAAGAGGACGGACCTACGAACGAGTTGTTCGAGGCCGTCGAAGACAAAATGCCGGAGGCATCCTCAGTTGAGGTGCTCCAACTTGTCTTGACATCTGCCGAGGAGATAGTAAATCTCTCGGAGATGACGTGGGATCCTGTCCGAACAAAAGGAAGGAAAGATCCACGAGATAGTCGCACCAGTTCCAGAAGAGAACGTGGTGGACTGTTGCTCTTCATCCACAATGGATGAGAGCGTCTTGGAGACCGACAAAAAGAAATGGTTCGCTGCTCAAGGCTGGGAAGCCTTGAAGGACAGCCCGTTCTATGATGTTCTGTGGAAACACCGTGATGTGTTTCCAGCAGAAGTGCCGAGCCGCCTACCGACCGATAGGGGCATCAGGCACGAAATTGACCTGGAGCCTGGCACCAAGTATTGTGTGACCAGGCAATGGCCGTTGCCGAAGGAACAAGTCGATCACATCGATGAGTTCTTCGACAAGCGAACTAAGGCGGGACATGTATGTGAGAGCAAGTCGCCTCACTGCAGCACGACCTTCTGTGTGCGTAAAGCAACAGGTGGATGGCGCGTGGTTAATGCTTATAATAATCTGAACACGGCCACCATTCCAGCTCAAACGCCGATCCAGTGGAAAGATGTTTTGTT